AACATTCTCTGATTACAAATAAAGATGAAGTCTAAAAGATGAGCACTCTCTGATATATCATGTGAAAGGGAGGGTTTATTTACTGCTGTCTTCATGGTCTGAGCAGTTAGCCTTGGTGATGAGTGCATGTTTATGTAGTGCTATGCGTTGGCAAGACACCTGCCACATGTGTCTGTATGCGTGCAGAAAGCGGAACTGACTCAGTGAGGCGAAGGGAAATTGTGTCATGTCCTTTGCTGATCTGCCAGCATTAATTACGCTGCTCTTTCAACTGGGAGATTAAATACCTCAATATATGAAATGAAGACAAAGCTTCAGAAAAGTTGCTGTGTAAAAATCAAAAACCAAAGACATCATCAGTATATCATATTTAAGCTGTGTCGCACAGATCCAACATTTATGTTTTACCCTTCAAGCTGGGGTGTGACACACATGTTGCAACTACTTTCTCAAAACGAACTATAAAAAAAACCCATTTTATTTTATTTTGATCAGTGTGAGTGTAAAGTCAGTAACAGAAGGTGTAACTTTAGCTCCTAATAAATTTTTCAAATAGGTTTTTACCCTTTGGTGGTAATGATGTCATTGTTTTCCATGTTGACCTGAGCAGAATGATCAGTCACATTTACACAAACGTTTCTTCATTTCTTTAAAATGTTCTGACTTGAATTTATTAAAACTCCCTGTCTAAAATGCAGAACTTTTATCCTCTGGTAGAACAAAGCTGAAGAAGCTACAAAAACTGCATTAGAGGAGATGATGTTATGTTGTTACAGAGAAGTTACCAGAATGGCAGTGCTGTTTTGTTCATATAGGTTAAAAAATATGATGATTACTGGAAAACTAGTCAGATGTGTTTTTGAACTATTCACTTCCACATTTGAGTTCTGCTGTCTAATGTTCTTTGTTGCTTTGATCAGTTGTGTCTGTCTGTGTGTAAAGAGACGTTTGGTAGATGAATGATCATTAGCTTGTCCAGACCCTCCTGTTTGGTTGAGTCATTGTAAAAGAATGCTCACTTTAACCACATTTGAGTTTTGTTTTTGGTAAATGCAAAATAGTCTGTTGCTAAGTAACCTGACACTTTTTAAAGTTTGTCATCAGCAGATAATTTCAGCTACTTGGAAAAAGCATCTATCTTTTTTCTCTTTCATTAGCTGTTTACATGTTTAGTCTTCCTGTTAATTGAATGAAATAATCACTTTAGTCAGATGTAGGACATCCATCCATCCATTATCTTTACCCGCTTCTTCCATTTTTGGGTCACGGGGGTCGCCGGTGCCCATGTCCAGCAATCACTGTGCGAGGGGCGGGGTACACCCTGGACGGGTCGCAAGTCCATCACAGGGCCACATAGAGACAAACAACCATTCACTCTCTCACTCACACCTAGGGACAATTTTAGAGTTACCAATCAGTCTAACATGCATGTTTTTTGGTCTGTGGGAGGAAACCGGAGTACCCAGAGAAAACCCACACATGCACAGAGAGAACATGCAAACTCCACCCAGAGAGGCCCCTGTACCGGGGTTTGAACCAAGGACCTGCTCGCTGAGAGGCAGCAGCTCTACCAGTTGCGCCACCGTGCTGCCCATGATGTAGGACATAGATATCCATTTTATAATTTCTGTTTCCTTCAAAATTTTTAGCATTTTGATTTGATTGAAGGAGTGGACTTTGTGGTAGGAGCCTAGAACTTAAAACCCTGACCATTTTGAGCTGACCACCTGTGTTGTATATCATCAGATGCATACCTATATCAGTTCACATTAAGTAATGAAATAGAAAAGCCTTAGCTTAAGATTGATCACATATAACTTGGTGTTTTAGGGCATCATAGCTCACAGGAGAATTGCGCTTGGGCTGTGCAAATGTGAAAGACTCCAGTGTGTTGGTTCAGACTGGAGAAATGTCAGTGCTGATTAAACGTGCCCAGTAATGTGTGGCTAGGTGGCATGTACTGTAAACAGGTTTCATGCCAGAAAGTGTTTTAAGTCACTGTATTTATTAGTGCAACAGGGATTGCTATCTGCATGAGTGGGTGTTCATTTCCTCTGTGACTCTGTAGTTGGCTGTGTGTGTGGAGGGGGGAAATCAGCCCCTTGGCTTAAAGTTGCAGTCTATATCAGCAGCTGAAAGGTAGAATGAATTTCTCAGTCATACCCCAACACCTACACTTACCAAATGGTCCCTAATTCAAAGCTAAAAGTCAAAATAGTTCACTATATAAAAAGGATACATCATCAGTTGTTGCCAAGTCCTTTTTTTAATAGATAAAAGAGCAGTTGCATGTTTGGAATTGTCAAGGTGTCCATATATTGTTTAACCAGTTATGTAGCTTACAAAAGAGTTTGGCTTATGCTTTAAAAAAATAATTAATTAAAAATATATATTTATATATATATATATATATATCCATTGACCATAGTTAGACATTACAATATGGTAGATGCTATACCACTAAGTTATTTTAAATGACGAAATACAAAACATTTTTTGTTGGTATTTTTAAGTTTAGTAAAACAAGGATCAACAATAATAAAAACAAAATTTAATTGGAATACATCAAACTAGACAGGGTTGACATGGGTTTTGGTCAAAGAGTCAGAATGTTACTGCCATCCCTTGAATGAACTCAGGAAGCATCACCTCACTGAGTCTGAACACCATCTTTAGGACAGATGTAAGCTTTAAACTTCTCTACAAATTAAAGACATTACGGCATATATTGATAATATAAACTAAAAGTTAGTCAGTGAATTCATGCATCTCAAAGGCAATCTTCACCCAATAACTGGTAATGTTTAGCAGGTCAAACATAGTCCTGGACAAAACACAGAACTATGATTTGACACACTGACACACATCTCACAGAGAGCTCTTGTAATGCAACAATCCTTCAGGCTCAGCATTTATTCCTCTAAGCTGTCTTGCACCCTTAACCTGCACCAGCTGTGTATACACACACACAAATACACCAGTTTCAAGCAAGTCGGGGAGCTGTTTGGCCGTTGAACTGGCTCTTTAGGCCAGTTGGCCATTGCTGTTAGCCTGGTGTCTTCCAATCAGCACATTCCTCTTTCTCTAGACAGACCCAGGGAGACAGTTTTGGCAGCGCGCACACTGGGTGGGGTAATACTCATATCCTGTCCCCTGACCTCAGATTACACACACATACAGTTACTGTACTGTTTTGCTCATGCTCATACTCAAAACACCACATTCTTGCTCTTAAAACATGCAGCTTTTGGTCTGTTTTGAATCAGCTGTTGCAGTCGGTCTTTCAGCCGAGGGTCAGCCAGTTTGTTTGTGCTGTCAGCTACAGAGCCAGTGTTGGCTGTGCCAATCAGTGTCTGTTGTTGTGCCCAACAATGACTCTCTTCTGTCGGTGTTAATGACCGTCCTCCCGCCATCTTTTTATTCCCCTCCTCCTTCCTGATAGCCCCTGCTTGAGCTGCAGAACTGAGCTTGGTGTAACCCTTCTTCAACAGCAACGATTCTCCAGTCCAATCCAGTCATTTTAGAGATGATTGCTTTGCATGTACAAAACGCTCTGTTTTTATCAACACAAACAAGCCTGTAGCATGCTTAAGAGGTGGATGAACAACAACAAAAAATAGTCTACGACACATTTCTTGTTGATTTTTTTAAGTGTTTGAGTACAAGTAAACTCGAAGTGGAATGCTGGCCTCCCTGTTTAAACTTTTTTCAAATAGAAAGAATGACGAAGCTTCTGCTCACATAAAGACTGTCAAACTTGATGATGTTGCCATTTTTTGACAAGCGTCCCTTCCTTCCTCTATATCTCACCATTCCAGTGTTGTGAAATCTCAAGAGTTTTCTGCATAGAGTGAGTCATAAGTCAAGACTAAAGCCATCCAGGCAATCTATTTACTCCATTCAAGAGGAGTTTTCTTTCTGATTTAGTTGTTTATCTAGGCAGATCCCATACTCCAGTGGATAGTGACCAACAGTGTGGGAGAAAGTTTTGAGACACAACACTCACTATCTGGGACTCCCCTCCCAATGCTTATCCAACCCAACTCCCTCCATTTGGCCCGATGAACTTTAGCACTCACTCCCTTTTTCTTCCCATTGTTGTTTCTCACAGTAGACTGTATTCTGTTTTGCTGCTGCCTGTGGCTCTCACTTTGACTCTAACTTTGACCATCACTCTGTTAATGTGAGTCTTTCTCCTCAGAACTTAGGATCAGGGTGTCGTTGCCTCTGGTCAGTGGAGTATGTGTCAGGCAGTTGGGACTGAGCAGCCCTTTGGCTCACTACACTCGACACAGCATACTTTCTTGTCATTTAACATAAAAGAAGGAAATGGCTGTATAGAGGACTGTAACATTTGAATTGCTTGTGTGTCTAAAAGAGTGTGTGACTGTGTTGGTTTACTGTGCAGGCTGTCATGTGTTTGCTTCACAAGCAGACTGTGTGTTTTGGGGTTGTCAGAGAGGTGGACTTTGCAATGCCTTTGTTGTTTTCTGCCAGACTCTGCTAGTGGTGAGAATCCTACCAGTCCAAGGCCAAATGAGGAATTTAAGGTTCTGTAGGAGATAAATGACCAAATCCTGATGTGCAGCTTGTTTTTTGCTCTGCTTATTCCATCTGTTTCCAAAGCAGTTATTCTTACCATTGATCTCTGCTTATCATGGTTATATACTCATTTCTGGAATCATATTTGGGTTTGGGTTTGATTTATAGCTTAAAGCAGGTGATTATTTTCTAATCATGTTTGTTCACTTGGGCTAATGTAGGATGTCACAAATGCATCATCTCTTTATTTTTTTTAATTAGACCTAAATGACAACGTGGAGTTCAAAAGATTTGCTTTCAGGAGGATTATCAGTATGACTCAACTGCTGCACATGTGTTGGCTGAAGCACGAGCTATGTGCGTGCATGTGTCAGAAATGCCCTGTGTATACAGTTATCTGGTGTTTGTGTGATAATTATGACTAACATGACAGTGTGATGTTGCTGTCCTCCTCTTAGGTGACATCACACAGAAGGGCTATGAGAAGAAAAGAGCCAAGCTGTTGGCCGCCTACATCCAATATTTGCCAAGTAAGACATCTTTGTTTTTTCTTTTCTCATATCACATGTAACTATCCTTTGTTCCATTTGTAGCCCTTAGTTTCCTTTAATGTTAAAAATGGTTAATCCATGAAACTGATCAAGTCATTCTGTCACTTTGATAGAAGTTACTTGACGTCTGATTGTTTCCCACATGCAAACTGAAGTAAATAAATATAACCAAATTTTGGGTGTTGCACTGTAGTGATTCAAATAAAGAAACTGACTTCAGTATTGTCTTTTTTTTTTGTCTCAGTGGTCCAATAATTTTTTTCGTTTTCAGTGGCCCTCTAGTGTCAAAAATGTGAATTACATGTGACATATATAGAATCATTATAGCGATGGCAACTTGGTTCTCTAAAAACCATATTGTCATATTTTATAGTTCACTGATATTTTAATCCCTTTTTAAAATATTTGAATCTGTTTTGGTTCATAGTTTATTTGTATTACTTTGAACTAGTACTTGGTTGAAATGCTGATCTACCGACCTTCTCTGCTGCACACAAGGATGTCATTTCCTCAGGAAAAATTGCAACACATTACCAGCGGCACAAAAATAACTTCCATATATGTCATTACAAGCTAATTTCCAAAGGGCAAGAATAAACACTCTTTGCATTCAGTTTAAACATGGACGGATTTTACTTGTTTTACCACATTATTCTTGTTGGTTGTTGACAACTAAACGAGTCATAATAACTTGCATATACTTGTTTCTGTTTTGTAGAGGCAGACCTTTCTCTGCCAGATGTACAGCTTTCTCCAAGCCACAGTGCCGACCCCAGCCCAAGTCCTGAGGCCCCAGGCCCGTCCAACTCTTCAGCCTCCAGACGCCATCGTGCGCACCGCAGTGGAGGGGCCAGGGATGAGCGTTACAGATCAGGTACACTGCTCGCTATTCCACAAGGAAAAGGTAGCATTTTAGACCTCTCAGTTTACCATGCTGGACCATTTTTGTCTCATTTATTTTTGCTGTTTATTTAGATATTCATACAGAAGCTGTGCAGGCAGCTCTGGCCAAACATAAAGAAGAGAAAATGGCACTTCCCATGCCGACCAAGAGACGCTCAGCTTTTGTCCAGTCTCCCAATCACTGCACACCTCCAGGTAAAATAGTTTTTCCCACAGTACTGGACAGTTGGAGAGATTAAAAAAAGCCTCTGGGGTTCGATGTTCTGGCCCCTAACAAATAAATTCACACAAATTATGAATAAAAATAAAACGGAAGAAATGTATTAAGATTTGTCTTAAAAGTGAATTTTCCCTTATTTTTTTAGATACGCCCTCTGCATCAGAGGATGAAGGCTCACTGCACAGAAAAGCAGCTCTCAGTGCAGCGCTCGCTCAGACCTTGCAGAGCCCTGATTACTGGATCAATCGCTCCGTCCAAAGCTCTTCCACATCTTCGTCTGCTTCCTCCACCCTCTCCCATGGAGATCCAAAGAGCCAGCCCCAGCACCAGCCTGGTGTCTCAGTGTTAGCCGATGTACTGGCCCACACACACATAGGTAAACCTTACTGATGGAGAACGCAACTGTTGGTTGACAACATTCTAAGGGGGTTCTTTTTGTCCTTGATGGTGTTTATTTTATTTTATATCCACCATCAGAAAACAGTGTCCCCCCAGATGTGACGTCCTCCACTCCACAGGAGAGAGGATCCAGAGTGGATCTTCCCCCAGCAGTCCGAGGCATGAGTCGTGGACAGAGCCGCTCCAGCATGCTGGATACTGCTGATGGTATACTCACAAAAGCCACAATGTATAAAAATGGCTGTTGAAGAGATGAAGTGAGGGGGGAAATCTAACTTCTCCTTTATAATCATGAAACCTGGGTTGCTGTCTTTAATTTTATAAGGTATAAGGCTAAACTATGCATGTTTTAATCACAGTAGAGGAATGACTTATTTTGCAATGATGCCATGGTTTTGATTGAATGTACCAAAACGTTGACCTAAAATAACCGGAAACATCATTGTCAGTTCAGTGTGGTGAAGGCTGCTAATGACATATTTTGTGTTCTTTCTTTTGGGTCCATTAATCCTGTCCCCTGTCTTGCCTTTGATTTAAAAAAGGAAAAAGGAAAGGTAATATAAGTCGACCCTGGGGAAGGGGAGGGATGCTGAAGAAGTCCAAACCAGCTTGCTTTCAAGCCTTTTTTTATGTTTGTCTCGTGTCTTAGGTTTAGAAGTAGAGAACTTCTGCATTTGATTTTCCTAAAGATTGTCCGATTTGTGTCTCCTTGCGTTCAAATTTCCCTTTCAAACTCTTCCTGCTGCTGATTTTGAATCTGATCCTGACTGCTAGTCTGTAGCATTCTGCCTGTGTGAGTGTGCGTGAAAACTTAAGACATTTGTGTTCAAACAGAACCGCATGCATGTGTCTATGCTTTTTGTTTGCCTACGTATGTGACCGTTTTTGGCGTTTGTTCAGGCGTGCCTGTCAGCAGCCGAGTGTCCACCAAGATCCAGCAGCTATTGAACACGCTCAAACGGCCCAAAAGACCACCACTTAGTGAATTCTTCCTTGATGACTCTGAGGAAATTGTAGAAGGTGAGTAAACATCTATAAAAAAAATAAAAAAGGTTTATCAGACAAATTGTACCATTCTGTTCAACAAAATCTGAATGATGAGCAGCTAAATAGATGTTTGAAAAGTTGCTGTCCAAATGTTTTAGCATATTTTCCTGTTTATTTGTATTTGTTCTTATGTCCAGTTCCCAGACCAGATCCCAACACCCCAAAGCCTGAAGGGCGTCAGATCATCCCAGTGAAGGGGGAGCCTCTGGGAGTGGTCAGTAATTGGCCCCCTGCCTTGCAGGCTGCACTCGCTCGATGGGGGGCCACCCAGGCCAAGAGCCCTGCCCTCACTGCGTTAGACATCACTGGCAAACCCCTATATACACTGACATACGGTGGGCATAAACTCACTGGCATCTTTTGGTGCATGTTAAATGAGTAAAGAGTTTATTTCACGTTTCGGTTTATGCAGTTTAGAATTATAAAAGAAAACAAGATTTTTTTTCTGCCTTTCAGTTTAGATTTTAATTATTTTGTGTCCATCTGCTGCAAACGTAAAATAAGTCATATATAAACTGTCCAGATTCAGTCAGTAGCTTTCTGAGCATAGCAAAGCAGTAGTGGCTTGACAAATTAAACCGTAATATAACAATAAGCTATACTTCAGCAAAAATAAGATGCGTTCTAAAATATTTTTTCCCTCCCACAGGTAAACTGTGGAGTCGCAGTCTAAAGCTGGCTTATACGCTGCTGAATAAATTGGGCACTAAGACTGAGCCTGTCCTACAACCTGGAGATCGAGTAAGAGTTTACAACATGCTTTGATTTATTTCAAGTTTAAAAGATTATAAAAGAAAACAAGTTTTTTTTTCTGCCTTTCAGGTGGCGTTAGTGTATCCAAACAGTGACCCTGGAATGTTCTGGGTAGCTTTTTATGGCTGTCTGTTAGCCGAGGTCATTCCTGTTCCTATTGAGGTACCACTGTCTCGTCAGGTAAATTTATCCCCAGTTCCCAAATTAATTACTTGATGGGATTAAGTAGCTATAATTCTATTGTCATCAAATAAGTATTTGACTTTAGTCAGATGAAATAACCCAAAGTAATAGATGTTTTTATTAAATACAACAATAATTCACCGTGTAAGTTTTTTAATAAAAAGCCGTTGTAGTAATTTAGTGATTGTTCTTTTGTTTATTGTTGCATACGTGTCTCTACACCTACCTGTTTGTCCTCGGTTTCCTTATTGTTGTTTATGTTCATAGGATGCAGGCAGCCAGCAGATTGGCTTTCTGTTGGGCAGCTGTGGTGTGAGCTTGGCACTGACCAGTGAGGTGTGCCTCAAAGGGCTGCCCAAGACTCCAAATGGAGAGATCGTTCAGTTCAAAGGTCAGCAAGCGTAACCTGCCTTTTTCTATTGCTGCTGGTTTCTTTTAGAGCCATTAGATGAACTTATTATTGTAGAATATATTATATGGAACTTATGTAGTATTGGCTAGTCACCTTTGACAGTGAAAAGAAAAGAATGGAACAAGAATATTTTCAATTACTATTATTATTAGTTCAACCTTACAAAGTGTAGTTTTTCTGTGTGTCTTTATGAATAATATATATGTATATATATATTTTTTTTTTGTGGTGTTCTGAATACATTTACCAGGATGGCCAAGGATGAAATGGGTAGTGACAGACACCAAGTACCTGACCAAGCCATCCAAAGACTGGCAGCCTCACATCCCTACTGCTAACACAGACACTGCCTACATAGAGGTACTCTGAGAATATGAACTCACGTTAAAATGTATATTCTGACTGGTTCATCAGATACATTTAAATAATCGCTTGCATTTTTGAAATTACATAAATGATTGTCAGGTCATTATTTATCTATTATGTTTTTCAACTCTTGGATAAATTGGCTTTAATGATATTTATAATATTGCACTTTTTTAATCACTGCACCAAAACCTTCTGAGGAAGATGAATTTATGTAAGAGTCCAAACTGATTTTGTTTTTGTACATGAGCATTCCTGTTAGATTTAAAAAAATCTTTACTGAAACTGGAATATTATTGATGCTTTTGGTTTGTTGATTGCCTTAGCTCTTTTTAAACATCACATTGACATTTTTGTGCCTGCTTCTTTCCGAAGTACAAAGCGAGTAAAGAAGGAACTGTGATGGGAGTTGCTGTTTCCAAGATCTCCATGTTGACACACTGTCAGGCCCTAAGTCAGGCATGCAACTACTGTGAAGGTCAGAACTTTATGTAACTTAAATGTCACTTATTTTCTTTGCTTTTATGTGACTGTATGTGTAAGATGCCAAAGCTGTAAAATCTAATTTTACAATATCAAATATTTATGCGTTTCTTTTTAGGTGAGACTCTGGTCAACGTGTTGGACTGCAAAAAGGATATGGGCTTGTGGCATGGCGTCTTAACGGTGAGACTAGATGTAGCTTTTTGTACATCCTTCCCTTCTTCACTGTAGAGTTCCATATTATGAAACAAGCAACATATTTATATTTGTTTCTTCTTTTAGAGTGTCATGAACAGAATTCACACCATCACTGTGCCATATTCTGTCATGAAAGCCTGTCCCATGTCTTGGGTTCAGAGAGTTCACATCCACAAAGGTTCAACCAAGTTTCATATTTTAATAATAATCAAAATGTTTAGATTAGCAGTTACTTGTCAACATATCATCATGTTATTGGCATGATGCAAGTTCTCCCTGCAGACTGTTGTGCTTTAACTTTAGCTGACTGATTGGTGCAAACGGCATGTTCTTGTTTCACAGCACGTGTGGCCTTGGTGAAATGCCGCGACCTCCACTGGGCAATGATGGCCCACAAGGATCAGAAGGACATCAACTTGTCTTCTATACGAATGCTCGTAGTGGCTGATGGAGCAAATCCATGTGAGGGACTTCTTATCCTCTAGCATATTTCCTTTTGTAATGTTTGAAAACATATAAGTGGATAGTTTGAGTCATTGTTCATTTTAACGTTTTCGTTTGTTGTTTACTGTCAGGGTCTGTGTCGTCCTGCGACGCCTTTCTAAACGTGTTCCAGTCTCATGGCCTGAGGCCTGAGGTCATTTGTCCATGTGCCACATCGCCTGAAGCCCTGACTGTGGCCATACGCAGGTAAGATTCAGAGATTCAGCGATTTATTTGTCATACACACCACATGTGGTACATGAGGTGGGATGAAACTATGTACACAGGGTCCCAGTTACATCCAACAAAAACACAAATTGTAAAGAAAAAACATGTCTTCATCAATACACCACATATCTGAAAACATACATTTTTAGTTGTTTTATACAATGTCAAGTCCTGTGAATTTTAATTGTTTTTTAAACTTGAGGGAATATTTTTCTCACGTTATTGTTTATGCAGCTGTCGTTCAGATTTGTAAAAGAGCATTGTAGGAGTTAGGGTAAGAGTGAAAAGAAAAACATAAATCCTTAGTTTTTTCCTCACCTGGAAAGAGTTTTATTATATGTCCGTTAAAGGCAGGACGTGTTATGGTATAGTCTTCGTACATCTGTAAAGTTTTTATTGTTCGTCCCATAACTTTTGGTCCACTCAAGGTAATTTAATGAAGCTTGAAACGCTTATGCATCATCACTAGACTGGGTGTCACATGCACATTTCATCACCCCAGCTTTGGTCACAAATCGTCAAATGTTTTTGCTTCTCTGGACCATAACTTCTGACCTGCTCAAGATAGTTTAATAAAATTTCATACAAAATCACTAGATGGAGTGTCGTGTTCACATTTCATCACCTCAGCTTTAAGGTCAACATCACAAATCCCAAGTCAAATGGGTCTTTGCTCTTTTGGGCCATTGCTGTAGATTGCTGTCTAATAGTTTGTCAACGAGTGTATAATATGCCATACGAGGTACTCTTGTTTGATTTGTTGGAATTCTGATCACTCATTATTTTAGTTAAACACACGAACACCTAATTTATACATTTAAAAAATAAAATTTTAAGTGTAATAAGTAATATGTTTGATTTTTGCACCTTGTCTGCAGACCTGGTGCTCGTGGAGCTCCTCTTCCAGCCAGGGCCATCCTGTCCATGGGCGGACTGAGCCACGGGGTCATCAGGGTCAACACAGAGGACAAGAACTCTGCTCTCACTGTGCAGGATGTGGGCCACATCATGCCTGGAGGTGAGCCACTGCAGATGGTTGCATTTGGCAGTAAATGAGTACAGCAGCTGCTGTATTTACTGTACATCATCACTGTTTTTATAAAAAGAGAGCCTGAATGTAAGTCCAGTAATGTTGCGACCTAACTTTGTGTTCCAGCACTGATGTGCATCGTAAAACCAGACGGGCCTCCGCTGCTGTGCAAGACGGATGAGATCGGAGAGATCGTGATCAACTCTCGGGCTGGAGGCACAATGTACTACGGCCTTCCTGGAGTCACCAAGAACACATTTGAGGTCTGTTTAAAAAAATGTTGCTGACTCAACAATCACATCTTTGTGTCCCTTTTATGTTATTTAGTAGAACATAGTCTGATCACACTATCATCCAAAGTTGATGAGTTTTTTTTTCTCTACTTTTTGTGTTTAAGTTCAGTATTTTCAATCTTTCTGCTTTTTGCTCTTTAGGTGATCCCTGTGAACCAGGCTGGAGCACCCATTGGAGAAGTTCCCTTCGCTCGTACTGGTTTGCTTGGATTTGTGGGACCGGTAAGAAAGGCACAAATTGTTTACGAGAAAAGGTTTTAGGCACTAAAAATAAATTTGTGAGACTTCTTTTTTTTTATATATATATATAGCTTTTAAATTGATTCATGGTATGTAAAACTGGGGTGAGCATGTGCATCATTGTTTGCACTGTGACAGTCTTACCTGTCTCTGGTCTGCCCTTCCTTGTGTAAATTACAGCTGGGATAGAATCTACCCTTATGAAAAGTGCTTAGATGGATTCTGTAACACAGTAGAGGTGAAATGGTTTGCAGTCATTGCTTTCCTTCTCTGTTCATGTTGCAAAGCATTAAATGGTGGTGACACTTAGCTTAAGTAAATATGTCTGCTCCACAGGGGAGTCTTGTGTTTGTTGTGGGGAAGATTGAGGGACTCCTGATGGTGAGCAGTCGACGTCATAATGCTGACGACTTGGTGGCCACTGCGCTGGCTGTGGAGCCTGTCAAAACAGTTTACAGAGGGAGGTATGACACCGCCTGGCCTCTCTGAGCCACTAAGAACAGTTATACGTTTCTGCATAAGTGGACATAAATGCTCATTATTATTACTTTTTATTTGTTGTTTGCTTTAGTGTATAAATCTAGAAATAAGTAATTCATTAAGCAACTGAATGTTTGTGAAAAGGTCTAGTTTTTGTCCACAGCTTGTTTTTGTCACCTGTGCAGGATTGCAGTTTTCTCCGTGACAGTGTTTTATGATGAGAGGATAGTTGTTGTGGCAGAACAAAGGCCCGATGCCAGTGAAGAAGACAGCTTTCAGTGGATGAGCCGAGTTCTTCAGGTAATTCATATATTTACATTATACATATAGTTTTGGTGTGAATCATAGGATAGATGTGATAGCATGGCTGTAGAACATAACTTTTGAATTTATTTATTTTGTTTTGTTTTGTGACGTACAATTCAGAAGAACAATGTCATCATTCTTTGTTGAAATCAGGTCTCTCTTGTAAATGAGTCCTCGAGGCTCAATGGGATTAACCTGTCTAAATAAAGGTTAAATGAATGAAAAATTAATGAAAATTGCAAGTTATTCACTCTCAGACATTTAGAAACTCAGAGACAAGCTGTCTGTCATGGCGTATTAAGTTAAAGAGTGTTTTAAGTTTGTGCTCATTTAACTATATTACTTATTTCCTCTAAAGGCCATCGACAGCATCCACCAGGTTGGCCTTTACTGCCTTGCTCTTGTCCCAGCCAACACCCTCCCTAAGACACCACTAGGGGGGATCCACATCTGTGAAACCAAGCAGAATTTTTTGGAGGGTAATCTGCATCCCTGCAATATCCTCATGTGTCCACACACCTGTGTTACAAACATGCCCAAGCCTCGTCAGAAACAGCCAGGTGAGCCATCCTGAAAATCAGCTGAGCATATCATATAAAACTACCAGATAATTGGAAGTATTTGTAAATCAATATACAGTACGCAATGTATTCAAATGAGGAGATTTAGATTTTTAAAGCAAAAGCAAATCATAATAAATTTGGCTGCTGTCCACCTTGTTTAGCAGGACGTTACTTTAAGCATTCTTGTGACAGTCCCTAAAAGTTCAGTCATTTCAGTGTTTAGGTCACTTACTGTGCTACTGAGCTCTGAACGAACAGACCGACTCTAAAGAACAAATTTATGGTCACCTATCTTCTGTAGTGTTGTGCATAAAGATATGTCCACTGAAGGTGGTAGTTTATTCTCTTGAAAACCTTACTCTCATCACTACTGGTGGTCCTCAGCATAAACCTTGGATCAGTTTTACATTTCTTGTTTGCAAGCCTAAAATTTTTGGTGAACTCACAAATACAATATGTGCACTTATTAGTCAATACCTTTCAAATAAAGAAAAGTAGGGAAATGAAAGTGTGGCTGAACTAGCATCACTTGGCGGCACATTTTGTCTACTACTAGTTCTTTGCTTTTTGAAAGTCAGCCTCTGGGCGTTTGCTCTGTCAGCACTGTGACTGCTGCCATTCTCTGCTGATGAACATTTTTCTGATTCTGATCTGTTCAGTGGACGTAGGTCCTGCTTCCATGCTGGTCGGCAACTTGGTGGCGGGGAAACGAATCGCCCAGGCAACAGGCAGAGAACTGGGTGTGGTGGAGGATCAAGATCTCATTCGAAAGGTAGCACCGCACAAAGTAGATCTCACTTTCCCTGAATTTATTGTTAATAATTATATGATGATTTATTGGGTTATGGAGTTGGATAATTTTTTTCAGTGCCTTTTTTTTATCCAGTTTAATTTGTAAGATTAAAATTTTTGTAGGTGTCTGTGTTGATGTCCCTGGACAGTCGGACAAGTTTCTGTCAGCATTTATAGTCCTGCTGTTATTATTATTATACATGCATATTATTTTAAAAAGCTGGATTAGTAAATTACAGAATAACAGAAAGTGGCAAAGCTAGTTTTCAAATTCAACTTGCTTATTCATTTTATTATTAAAAGTGAAAAAAAATATGGTTTTTGTCTACATGTGACAGTATTAGAGTTCAAACTGTTTAAATAAAACTGATGGATCACTTGGAAATCTGCTGTGTGTGTTATCCAAGTTAAAGATAACCCTGAAGCTGTCAGGAGAAACGGATGCTGATGATTTATGCTAAACCTGTGTTGTTCTACCTTTACTGGGGTTGGGCTTTAGCTCTGTATGTGGCCCACCATGATGGTAAGGTTCTAGTCTGGCTCCGACCCGTCTCTGCTTCTGCTGCTTCTGTCGGTCATGTGCTTCTGCAGCTGTGATCAGCCTGACGGTGGTCAGTAATGGCTTCAGCCAACAAGATGACAGTCCAGGCTGGCCCCTTTGCCAGCAGGGGTCCACACATTGACTTTGTCATATTTGCTAATTTAAATATAAAGTCAGGTCTTAAATTGAACAGATTTGACACAAGAAAATTACCAAGTTTCTGGCAGATGATGTGCTCACAGAGGTCCACTTTTTTGAAAAACGCCACTTGTCTTATTTTTTAATTGGGCGCATATTGGTGTGCACCTCTGCTTGCTGTGCTCAGTGTGACGTTCCCACGTGTAGCATGACTTTACGAGTGGTCGGACCAGCTGTCCTGCATGATGTCCCTCCTGATTCAGAGCACGATGTGTTGTCTGAGAGAGTGGGTGTCACGGAGGATGAGTCTGACAAGACATTTAGGAACGTCAGAAAAGCTGCTCCGTATTGTTCGTGTTTGAAAAACGTCACTTCCTTTTATCTGTGCTCGGATGTTCACTTGTCCTTTTGTCTGTCAAGAGATTTTGGCTTAAATGTTCTCTCTTGTCGTGTCTGGTACTCTGATCAGTTGTTTCTGTTTGTTCCTATAATACTAGCAACTTAAATCAGGCCAACTTTTTATTGATAAGCCTTAATTGAAAAGACCGTAGTATTTTAGTTTTTCACAGAGGCTCTAATTGACCTCTTATGAACAGCATAGTCTCACTATGACCCTTAACTGGTAATTTTGTAGTCATTTTTGTGCTCCTTGTGGGTCAACAGCATGGCAGAATATATTTTGAGTTCTTTTAAAATACCTTTATTTTTCTTTATTAGTGTGGTTCAGTCATTTAATTATTCCAGAGACTGTTTTAGGCTGTTGGTTGGTCAATAAGGCCAATTTTTTAAGTGTTTTTTTTTTTTTTTAATATTTATCATTCTTTAGTTTGCCAGTAATGTTGCTTTTTTGTGCTGTGGAAAAATAATAATGTCTAAACTTTCTAGATATAAATTAGGCTTGGAAATGAACTAGTGTTTTTTTTTTTTTTTTTATGAGACATTTCTTGCAATGACCCAAAATGGAAGAAGCGGGTAAAAGATAATGGATAGATGGATTTCTTACAATATATGTTTTTTTTTTTTTTGTTTTTTTTACTTTAGTCTAAGGCTCCATACATGTTGTTTCACATTCTTTTAAATCTTTATTTTTATTTTTTCAGCACCAGTTTTTGTCTGAAGCGCTGCAGTGGAGAGCTCAAACAGATCCGGACCACGTTCTGTACGTGCTGCTCAATGCCAAGGTAGATTTATCACCAATACACAAAAATACGTAGAAACTCGGTACGAGGAATCTGTTAATAACGAGCGACTGAACAAATCCTGACATGGAACATGAGTTATATTGGGGTGTTTATTTATTTATTTTTAATGGTGACTCTTTTTGTTGTCTGTTTTTTGATGCAGGGCATAGCAGTGTGCACAGCCACTTGTGCTCAGCTACACAAGCGAGCAGAAAAAATCACGGCCACCCTGATGGAAAGAGGAGGCCTCAACACAGGAGACAATGTGGTGCTGCTTTATCCCCCAGGTGAACACACAGATTCAAACAGCCCCCATTATTGTAGAAGGCTGCTAAATTAAAATGTAGGTCTTTTTAAGTAACGTTTACAATGTTACACGGTGTCTCTCATCCGCAGGTATTGACCTGATTGCTGCCTTCTACGGCTGCCTCTATGCGGGGGTTATCCCTGTGACAGTGAGGCCGCCTCACCCTCAGAATCTGACTGCTACTCTCCCGACAGTCCGTATGATCATCGATGTGAGTCCACTCCTCTACTACTGTCTCATAAAAACAAAAAGTGTTGGATCAATCTGTCACTGTGCTCTTTATTCAAACAGTTTCATAACAGTATAACTTAGTTAATGTATGTAAGAGCAAAAAAAAAAACTTTTTATGATGCATTTTGATTATGGTATTATTAAAAAATGAAAAGCCCATCATTCTGTTTTGAGCCGTAGAACTGAATTCCTTGGAAGTGTTTTAAATGAAATCTAACCTCAAGGATCAGTAAACCATCAATAATCAAATTTTTGTGCAGAAACATGCTTGGAAAACTTTTTGTGTCGTTTATTTTTGTTCAGTATTAAAGCACAGAGTGTGATTTTCTTCAGTGCAAGTGTTTTTCTGATAATTGTGGTTCACAGGTTAGTAAAGCAGCTTGCATCCTCACCACTCAGCCCCTCATGAGAATCCTCAGGTCCAGGGAGGCCGCTGCCAGCGTCAACGTCAAAACGTGGCCAACGATCATCGATACAGGTACTAAACTGCGACAGCCGCTGAAATTAGGACTGCACTGAGGCGTCCGTTATCCACAGGCACAATGTTGTGTTGAGATTTATCTTCTGCTCTCTGTGACTTTTACGACCCGGCTCTGAATGTTAACTGGACGTTGTCAGAAGGTGTTTCTGCTCGCTAACTAACTTTGAACGTAGATCAAGGTTTGCTCCAAAGTTTCAAATGTGTTTAGAAAATCTTTAGTCAGTTTCTCAAACATTTGTGCAATTCATATTTGTGGCTTTTTTTTTTAATTAACTTTGAACTGTACGTTATCGTCTGAGATTATAATCCTTTAATATTTATCAACTTTCAATGCAACATTTACACTGAGACTAAGGAATATTTGAAGTACCATTTTTTTTTTTTTTAAGAAGAATTGAAAAAAAATGTTTTTTTCCTTTGCTCTGCCAGATGATCTCCCCAGAAAGCGGCCTTCACACATTTATAAGCCTCCTACAGCGGAGATGCTGGCCTACTTGGACTTCAGTGTGTCCACCACAGGCATGCTGACTGGAGTCAAGGTGAATGTTAACCACAAGCTATAAATAATCCACTATACGAGTAAATATGCTTCATTCATTAGATTAGATTAGAGAAAGATAAATCCCTTTTAAAGAATGTTTGTTTTCAGGTGAGTTTCCTGTTTATCGTTTCAACTTCAGCTGCTTCATTTGTTTGACTTTAATTAATTCAGCCTTTCCAGGACCTGACTAACAGGCTTCATTTAAACTATATTCTGCATTAGTTGTACAGAAGCTTATCAAGCAGTGACATTTTAAAATTTGTAATATTTTTGAGAATAAATGAACTTGTGAAGTCCTTGTGGTCAAATAGTTGAGAAAACAAAAATTCTTCTGCATGATTTAACGTTGTTTGTTCTACCGGCTACAACAAAAAAACAAAATATATAATTGTTGTATTCTTTTTATTAAATTACCGGTATATGAGTATTTATATATGTATATTAACTCCTACGTTGGGTAATTGGAGACAAAAAGTCCAGACAAAATCTAAATCCATCAGGTTTTTTCAAACTTTAAATCTAAGGTTATATTTATTTCCAGTAAAACAGTGCATCAACACCACAATATTCTAACGTCACTGCGGATCTTTTACAGGATCTTTGAAATGGAAAGCATCCTTTTTAGAGGGTTGAGACTTCATTTGTGCAGATTTTTAATCCAGCTTTTCAATCATATTTTGAAATTAGCATGACGTTAATCACACACACTGATATGGACCTGAGATAAAGGTGGACTCATTGGAACTCTAACTTTTGACTATTTGCAATAAGTGAGTGGGTTTATGTCTAATTTGAAGAATTCTTTTATCACTATTTCTGTTTTGAAGTAATAATAAAACCTCGAAACAATTTCTAGGAAAACTCTCTAAACTAAGGTCTTGCCACTTAATAAAAACTCATCACTGAATCGTTTCGGTCATTACTTCAACATTTCTCAAAGTATGTAAAACATGGAATCATGCTGTTTGTTGAGTGACTTTTAATAAATGTTTCAGATGTCCCATGCAGCAGTCAGCACTCTCTGCCGCTCCATCAAGCTGCAGTGTGAACTCTACTCTTCGCGCCAAATAGCCATCTGCCTGGACCCGTACTGCGGCCTGGGCTTCGTCCTGTGGTGCCTCTCCAGGTTCCAAAAACACACAAAACATCTTCTTTTTTTTTTTGACAGAACTCAGCTCTTTCAAATATCGTACAGCTACTTCAGCAAGTGCTCTTTTATTATTTACCAGTGTTTACTCAGGTCACCAGTCTATACTTATTCCTCCGCTGGAGCTGGAGACCTCGCTGCCTGTGTGGCTGAGCACGCTCAGTCAGTACAAGATCAGAGACACCTTCTGCTCCTACTCCGTCATGGAGCTCTGCACCAAAGGCCTGGGCACTCAGACAGAGATGCTAAAGGTCAGGTCCTCTTCATACAGTCTGTGTTTGAAATAGATGGATCACGTCTTTAAATCATATTGATAATTTGTATTTATCTGTTTTAAAGTCAAGACTGGTCCTTACTGACACAAATCTTCACCTAGGTTGTTTTTTACCTTTAAGCACAGCCTCGGTCTTCACCTGCCCCTCCCCTTTGTGTGTGTTCAGGCACGGGGTGTGAATCTGTCGTGCGTGCGGAGCTGCGTGGTGATAGCAGAGGAGCGGCCTCGTCTCGCCCTCACACAGTCCTTCTCCAAGCTCTTCAAAGACCTCGGCCTTTCACTGCGAGCAGTCAGCACAGCCTTCGGTTCCAGGGTGAACCTGGCAATCGGCCTGCAGGTGGGTTTCAAACCGGCACACAGGGAGCTGTACCTTTAGTGTTTTTTTACACCCAGACTTTTTTTTTAGAGCTAACATTTACTGTCTGTGTCATCAGGGCACATCTGGACCAGATCCTTCCACTGCTTATGTTGATATGAAGTCCCTGCGTCATGACAGGTCAGACTGAAGGCTCCAGCACAAAGACAGATCCTGTTACTGGTAAAATCAAGCACTGGTGTCCTTCAGGCCAAACCATTGTATTTTTCTTTTATTTGTTCGTCAGGGTGAGATTAGTGGAAAAAGGAGCGCCTCAGAGTCTTCCACTCATGGAGTCGGGCACTGTGAGTGTTGAGCACTGATTTGTTGAACATACATAAATGATGCTCTGATTGGCCACCAGAGATTAAATTCTGTGTTGCAATAAATGTTTGACTCTCTTTTTTCTTAATCCTCCTAAAAGATCCTGCCAGGAGTCAGGTGTATCATAGTCAACCCAGAGACCAGGGGCCCACTGGGAGACTCTCATCTTGGGGAGGTGAGTGTACAGAAACGTCAGAGGATAATGTAAATAGGGATGGGGCCGATCCAGTATCGGTATCGGGCTCCGATACCAGCATAATTTACGTATCGGGTTTTTCCGATCCAACTTGCAGAGATTTCTGATCCATGATGCATGTCTGTGTCTCCAAGTAAAACGTCTGCACGTTGGCTTCAAACTATGGAATGGATTTCCTGAACAGAGGCTTGTCTCATGAACCCAGAGTAATAAGACCCGCCTCACCTTCAGGAAATCCATTTCATAGTTTGCAGCCAGCTACAACGTGCAGTAGCATTGTGGCTAACAGCTAACCAACTTTTCATCTAAACATGTCCGCTGTGTGGAAGTATTTTACACTAGAAACACCACAAAGCAAGGCAGCAATGCGCAATGTCTGTAGAGCCATAGCTCCACTTTAAACTGCGGTAAAGTTAGTTTTACAATGGACATTTGAGCTCCAGGGCTTCAGCGGTCTGTTATTTTCGTTCAGTCCGGAGAAGGCAGTCTGACTTCGGTCAGCCACGCTCAGTCTGACCCGCTCAGTCTGTCCGTCTCAGAGAAGGAGCAGACTGAGCACGGCTGACCGAAGTCAGACTGCCTTCTCCAGACTGAACGAAAATAACAGACCGCTGAAACCCCGGAGCTCGAATGTTTACAGAGAAGCTGCTAAACTTCATCGTAATTAATGACCAACCACTATCATTTGTAGAAAATTAAGGATTTCGCAGCTTGATACTTGCAGCCAAGATGTAGTTTACCCTCCAGGAGATATTTATCAGTAAACAGTAAACAATCATAAAAAGCATATGAATTGAAAAATACAAGAACATTTTATATAATAAAAAAACGAAACAAAAACAGCTACATTATAAAGCGATGTAAAATACTAAAAACAGGACATGTCTGTGTTGGTTTATGCCATGAACTTAGAAGATGTTTAAAGTCATCTAATCACTTTAATATCTACTTTAAAGCTAGGAATAAAAAACAAACGTGTTTTGTGTTAGCAGGATTTAATTCTAACTTTGAAACTTATCCAACATTAATAAAACTTACCTCATGTTGCCTTTTTGGACATGCATATATTTGTACAAATTTTACTTGCCTATAGAGAGGAGATTATTACAGCCTTATATAAAATCAATAATGATGATGATATCGGGACAGTATCTGTATCGGCCGATATCCAGATTTAGGTATCGGATCGGAAGTAAAAAATAAAAAGTGGATCAGTGCATCCCTAAATGTAAACACTTTGAATGTTATGTTACTCTGAGTGTTTTCAATTTTTACTAAAACTAACAGTTAGCAGATGCTAAAAGCAGAACCAGGCTGATTTAGAATTGGACAGAGTTTTTGTTGTACCGGATAATTTTTTTATATTAGGCTCAACAAACAAATTCGGAAGCTTCGACTTGGAGCACAAATTAAAAAGTTTCCCACCTTTCTGTCTCCGCAGATCTGGGTGAACTCCCCCCACTGCGCCAGCGGCTACTATACCATCTATGGAGAGGAAAGCCTGCAGGCAGATCATTTCAACACCAAACTCAGCTTCGGGGATCCTCAGACCCTTTGGGCTCGGACGGGTTACCTGGGCTTCATCAAAAGAACCGAGCTGCTGGATGCAAGCGGAGGTCAGACAATGTTTGTGAAAACTGAACAGAAAATGAGTGAAAATGCAGCCCAAGTCTAAATAAAAACAAAAGCTTGAAGATCTATTGATCAAAACCACCTTAAAAGATCTTGAGTGTCTAGCTCCTTCAAAGGAAAGCATCTAAAAATGAGAAAGGATTTAAAAGTTTTACTGTAAATGTGTTTTTTTCTGCCACAGATCGCCATGATGCCTTGTTTGTGGTGGGCTCTCTTGATGAAACCTTGGAGCTGAGGGGGTTGCGTTATCACCCCATTGACATCGAGACGTCTGTGTCTCGAGCCCACCGCAGCATCGCAGAGAGGTGAGGGTCTCCTCTGTCCTGCTCTCAGACGGCACAAATCACAGCTGTTGACTGAATCCTCTCTGTCTCGTCTCATCAGTGCTGTGTTCACCTGGACCAACCTGCTGGTGGTGGTGGCGGAGCTTAGCGGCTCGGAACAGGAGGCCTTAGACCTGGTGCCCCTCGTCACCAACGTGGTCCTGGAGGAGCACCACCTCATCGTCGGGGTGGTGGTCATTGTGGACCCCGGCGTGATCCCCATCAACTCCAGGGGAGAGAAGCAGAGGATGCACCTGAGAGACTCCTTCCTGGCGGACCAACTAGACCCCATCTACGTGGCCTACAACATGTGAACACCTTCCAGAAACTGATGCAGAAACCTGAGCCAGGATCAGAGACGAGAGGGACGAGGACTTGGGATGTGAACAGTAGCAACGTCAGCGCAAACCATGTGGGAACGCAAAGACTGCACCAGTAGTGTAACGACAAAATGCTTCCCTCTTGAGACTGCTCTTTGTTCACTTCCCCCTGCAGCCCCAGGTTCACCAAGATTTCCAAGAACAAGGATGATTTTTCCCCCTCCACTTGAGAGGAAACTCATCGTTCACCTGGAAGAAATTAGATGTTCATCTGTTGTGTGAACCACTTACACAGCAGTGAATCATGTTTTCAAGTCTTTTTATTCACACACTCTCCATAAAGACAAAAGCCTCTCACTTTTTGGATTCATTTGCCCCCTGTTTTTATTTGCTTTTTTGTACCTCTTTATTCTTAAAGTCAGGGGGGACGCACTGGAACGTCCTCCTTGCCTTGCACGTCTTTGCACGTCTGGCTCCATGTCCTGTTTCACCTGCCTCAAAAAGGAGATCCCACTGCCCACATCTGCTGCTTCTGCGAGAGCAAATCCACATCAGTATTAAAAGTGCCACAAGCAAGTCCCCCTCCCACAGCGGTGATGGTCCTGATTTCTACCAGGTGCACACAGTGGCTCTCACCTCCACAGAGCACATTTACCAGCAGACATGGCGTCGGCATTCATTCATTTCAAAATGTCTCAAAAATACACTTGAGTTCCTTGTTGATGTGGAAAACAAACAACCCTCGTAAACACAGACCTGGACAGTGACACAAACTGTGAGAGCTCGCTGAGTTAGATAGATTGTATAATTGTGATAGTACTAATGATTTTAAAATCTGAAGCACCAATCCTTTCTACTAACCAGGATCTGCAGCTGTACCTGGTGTTCAGGTATGCATCTTATATTGGAAGTGCAGTGAATGTCTTAGAAAACAAACACTGACAAACCAATGAGTCTTCTTAAGACTGTGATTGGTTTAAAGTTCAGCCTGGTTTTCAGCTCTTAATTTGTGCCTCTCATAAGTCACAACTCAGAAATACTACAAACCTGATGGTATTCCTAATGCTGTATCAGAAGGGTTTCTGGAAATTTTAAAACTATCTGGTCCAAAAACCACTCTGCTGCCTTTAAAGATTTGTTACTGTCATGATGCTATCACGTGCTCTAAGGACCCCAGTTCATGCCGACCATCATCATCATCATCATCATTGTAGGATTAACGTAGGCCCATCTGAAATTTAAGGAGTGCTTGTCTGAAAGGCTGATATTTGTACTAAATCCCAGATATCTCATTCAGAATGATGAGTGAACAATGATATCATAGATGCAGATAAATCACATTCCATATCCATCTGAGGTGTCTTAAAATTTGTATTTTATCTTCAAACATAAAGCAAAAATCATTTGGCGTGGGGTTCTGTAGAAGGGTTTTAACAAGTAATATCTTACCTGTTGTAGACAGCTCTTTGAACAACTTTAGTTTGGAGAAACGAGTTTGATTCTGACCAGATGTGAGAACAAACTGCTGGTCTGAGAGGGACCAGGACCAAAGTGGACCATCGTTATCGTAAAACAACTTTTGCAAACAGTTTTATAAACCGTTACATCGCTGTCATTTTCACATTACACTGTCATTCTAGTTGAATTATAATCCAGCTGGAGGTGCAGCTGTATGCTGCTGCTCTTAGAGCTTAAAAACCCCCACAATATTTTCTTTGAAATTACTGTAATTTGAAATTAGCGGCAATATAAAGTTGTTTTTTTTTTTAAACAGAGTTTGCCTGAAACGCTGTGAACTTTTTGAGACTGGAGTTGTTTTGAGATGGCAGCGATCCACTTTGATCGTAGTCTCGCTGGGACTAGCTGTTGACTCATCAGTCTAATCAGAATTGGTACGATTGTTCAGAATCCAACAAAGTTCAGTCAAGTCATCTGGACGGTTACTTTTTTGTTGAGCCGTTTCGTTCTTCATCCAAAGGACTTCATCAATCCGAGGAGCCACAAACAAACTCAGTCCCACAAGCAGCACACTGCCACAGTGGAACAACCACTCTGCTGGTGATAAGATGGTTTCTGGGGCCCACCCTCTCCCCTGTCGACTCCTCTCAGGCAGCCATAGTCAAAGTGGTTCAAAACATCAAAGTTCATGCTCAATAATCCAGGTAAAACATTGATGAAGTCCTTTGGATGAAGGACGAAACGTTTCAACAAAAGAAACAGTCCAGATGACCTGAATGAACATTGTTGGATCTTTTACCTGGATTATTGAGCATGGACTTGTTCAGAATCGTTTCACAGAACCCCACTTCAAAAGATGTGAATCACCGCTTTAAGAAAAAGACGTGATATGAAAGACAAGTAAATGAAATAAGACACATAAAACAAATTTTGTGGTGTTGGACTGTCTTTAGTAAATGATACGTTCAGTGATTTTTTTTTTTTTTTTTTACATTTTCAGGCGCTGGAACAGGAAGTTAAGAAGTCAGCTGAAACATTGGTTTAATGTAGAAACTTTAAAAATGGTTGGAATATATTTTTGTCTTTCAGTTTACCCCCAAAAATCATCAATTGTTCCCACTCGTCCAGGCAGCTGGAAGCTGTTTCCTAAAAATAAGTCGATACAAGAACGCCAATATAAATGTAACATTCAATCCGATCAGTTTTGTATCAACTAATGTTTAAATTTATGTCAGACATCCTGAGGTTTTTCAACAAAAACACTTTAATTATCATTTTGGGCAACAAAATTTGTCTAGCAAACTATTTTTTTTTATCCAAATGGTGGACAGTCTTTACATTCCTGAACATACTTTAATGATAATTTTTTGCATATGTCATTAAATGATGGTCTGGATTTTTATAAATATTACTACGTGTTTATTGTTCCAAAGATCTGAGGTGTTTCCTGTAAGAGGCACAAACCAATAACGTCAAGAGAGCTGCTAGATTCAATGATTTATTCTTGTCTTCTTAAGGTTCATGACTTCTGACGGTCTTCATAAAAACACAACATAAATCCTATAAAACATCTGGTTTAACATCACCGTTTTACTGACAGACTGAAGCTGCTACCTTTCAGTCTGTACATTTAGGTAAAAAAAAATAAAAGCTTTCCGTTAATGTCACAGCCGGTTAGTAAATGTGGATCATCAGAAGGCAGATCAGTGCCTTTCACCTTGGAGACATTTCTGATTCTGAACTACTGAGTTCAAAGAAAACGACATAAAGAAAACTTTGCCTTATTGAATCTGTGGAGCTACCACAGCCTCCACCAAACACCCTCGTGTCTGGTATTTTTACAGGAAGAGGGTGTCTGCTGGTTTATTTTTAGGTTAGTCAAGCCTTTTCCATCAGAACGTCAACATTTGAGCTGATCATTTCTGAATGTCTGCAACACCACGGGGACAAAAAAAAACAAAACTAGCAAACCTGCAAGGTAAAAGTGGCAGATTTCTGCTTAAAAAGAAAATAATTGGTAGATAGGGTAAAATGTCTGTATACTGTATTTTAGAAGTCAAAACCGTATTCCTAGTGTTACTGTGTACATGGAGTTGGACTCTGTAGATAAAAACTTGACTGATCTTTCATACTTGACTGTTTTTTTTTTTTTTCAGTTTAAAGACGTCACGTTAAAAAACAAACAGGGAACAGGTTATTTGGACAAAAACAATGTGCACTTTCCCAATATCATTTTATGTACAGGTGTGTGTGAGCGTGTGTGTTTAGTTCAGCAATGATATTTGGCTTTTAAGGTGCAACAAGTTTTATCTTTTGTATAGAATCGATCTCATATTAAAACTTTTTAACCTTTTTTTTTAATGTCGCCTCCACTGTATTTGTATCCTTTCCATTTAGAATTGGGATTTTAATATATTTTCTAGAGCATTCAAACATGTTTTTCTTGATGTGATTTGCATTTGGACCTGCACAACTTCTGCAAACGGTTGGTTTTAATTTAGAAGCGGCTCGGCACGTCGTGCAACACGCCGACATAGCGCTGAGGACACCAACGCCAGCCAGTAATTTGGTTACTCATGAATAACTGTGTGATAATTGCTTTGTCGCTACTGTTTCACTCCATTGAGTTTTAATAAAGTTTTATAATTTCATGCCGGCCTTCAAGCCTTTTCAATAGACGCTGGTGCTATTCAATAAGAAGTTGTAGGCAGATTTCTGTCCTTCAGTCTCTCTGGAAGCTTGTTTCAAAGAGAGCTTAAAAGTTTTGTTTTTCTTTTTTTTTTATTAGCTCTGAAATCTGATGCAAAATTTCTCTACAGGAAACTGGACACAGACAATGCAATGTTACATTTATTTTTTTTATTTGAATATACTGTTTTCAAGTTGTGCTGAAACATTTGAAATGTCCAAAGTTCTTCTAAGCACAAAATGTAACTGTACAGGTGTGGCAATAAAAAAGGATACTTCACACACAGAAATAGAGAAAAGAAGTCAAAAGTCCACACTATACCTCAACAACCGTCTGTTCACTATGCATCATGGAGCTGCAGCAAAACGCGTTCTGGACTAGAGTCAATGGTGCGAAAACTTCTAACATGTCAGACTTGACAAAAACACTGTCACGTTGTCATTGGATGTCTTTCATGTCATATGGAAAAAAAAAAAAAAGCTTTGTCAACTTCTTGTTTTCCAACTCCTGCAGAGAAGCTTGAGAATAAAACATGAAATACCACCTTCGTCCCACCAGGTGTCGCTGTTTCTGCTTCAGCTCAAATAAATTTGCACCATCATGTAGGATGACGTCATAGTCCAGTTTCCAGTCCTATTATTTCTGAAGCACTTGGTTCAAGCACTAGTTTAACACTTAAAACAAACAAACAAACAAAAAAAACCAACACTGTAAGTGTTAAGCTAGAAATGAAAAACAATGTAGGCCCCAGAAATGGAGAATATGACTTTATTTACACAGATTTTTATTTTATTACTGGTTTTAACTTCAAATCTTAAGAGAAGTCAGATGAATGCAGCATCTACGTTTGAAAAGTTCATATGAGGAAATCTAAACACCGGTTGGGGGTTGGGGGTGGGGTGGGTATAAGACGGTCGGATATCTTTAAACAAAATTTTAAAAGGATTTAGTTTGTATGATACATGTGCAGTTTTATTTATTTAGGAGTTTAAGGGACCTTGTCCTAAAAAGCTCTAAAAACTGGTTATGCTCCAGACTTGACTTTTTTAGATTTTTCTACCTGGATTATTGAGCATGCATCAGGATGTTATGCTCCACAAGTTGGATGTGACATAGAGCTGTCATTTCTAACCCGAGTCCTAAGCCCGGCCCAACCCGACCCGAATTCGGGGCAGGCCAGGCCATGATAATGTGCCGGGTGGGTGGGCCGGGTCAGTGTCGGACTTTTAATGGGGTCAGGATCAGCCGCGATCCAATTATATGATAACATGGCCTGCCATACAATCAGCAGCCGCACACAGCCATTTCACCGTGAGCTGACCATCCTTGAAAGAGTTAAAAAGTTCAGTTAAACTTCAGATGGGACTGTACTGCCAGGAAGCGATCCACCGCCCAAATGGACGTTCATTCAGCTGCTGTACTCAGCGGACGCGCACGGCCGATGACCCAAACAGGTGGGACCCCAAAGCAGACGTGTCAGAGCAGGGTCCGTGTCTGAATAAATCAGAACACAGGCAGAAGCGAGGATTAAATGCTCTTTGACGGCCATGAAAGGACAAACACCCCCTTGGCTCTGATCTTATGCACCTCAGCCATGCGTCCTCAACCGTTAATAACTAATTAAAAATATCAGGTTTTTGTCTGGGTTCAGACCTGTAATTACTGTTAATTCGTCGGGTTAGGTGGGGTTTGGAAATGAAGATTGCGGGCTGGGGTCGGGTCAGATTGTATTTTTTGGGCCTGAATGCAACTCTAATGTGATGTGAAGGAGAAAGATAAGTTTTGGAAGAATCTGGATGAAGTGATAGAGAGTATTCCTAGGAAGAACAGAGTGGTGATCGGAGCAGACCTGAATGGACATGTTGGTGCAGGAAACAGAGAGGATGAGGAAGTGATGGGTAGGTTTGGTGTCAAGGAAAGAAACCAGGAAGGACAGAAGGTGGTGGATTTTGCCAAGAGAATGGAAATGACTGTAGTCAACACTTAATTCCAAAAGAGGGAGGAACACCGTGTGACCTATAAGAGAGGAGGAAGGAGTATGTAGGTAGACTACATTCTGTGTAGAAGAGGAAACCTGAGGGAGATTGTGGACTGTAAGGTTGTGACAGGGGAGAGCGTGGCCAGACAGCATCGGATGGTTGTGTGTAGAATGACAGTTGTTGTGAAGATAAAAAGAGTAAAATCAGAGAAGAGGAATAAATTGTGGAAGCTGCAGAAAAAATAATGTGAGAAATTCAGAGAGGAGCTGTTAAAGTTTCTGGGTGGTAAGAAAGAGAGACAGGTAGGAAGGTACTTGGTGTGTCATCTGGACAGAGAATGGATGAGAAGGAAACCTGGTGGTGGAATAGTGAAGTGCAGGAAGCTATTCAAAGAAAGAGGTTAGCCAAGAAGAAATATGACAACGAGAGGACTGAAGAGAGGAGACAGGAATATAAGGGGATGGAACGTAGAGCAAAGAAGAGGTGGCAAAGACAAGGCAGAAGGTGCATGATGAATTGTATGAAAGGCTGGACACTAAAGAGGGTGAGAAGGACTTGTATTGATTGGCAAGACAGAGGGATCAGGTTGGAAAGGATGTGCAGCAAGTTTGGCTTTTTAAAGATAGGAATGGTAATGCTCTAACAAGTGAGAAGAGCATGATGGAAAGATGGAAGGAGTACTTTGAGGATCTAATGAATGAAGAGAATGTAAGAGAATAAAGAGCAAAGGTCATTGAAACTGACCAGGAAATGGAAAAAATTAGTGAGGGTGAAGTTCAAAAAGCTCTGAAAAGAATGAAGAAGGGAAAGGCAGTAGGACCTGATGACATACCAGTGGAGGTTTGTAAATATCTAGAAGAGATGGCAGTGAGGTTTTTGACTCAAATATTCAGGGACATACAGTATTTGAGAGTGAGAAAATGCCTGAGGAATGGAGAAGAAGTGTGCCCATTTTTAAGTACAAGGGTGATGTGCAGAGTTGTAGCAACTACGGGGGAATTAAGTTGATGAGCCACACAATGAAGATCTTGGAAAGTTGTGGAAGCCAGACTTGGATAGAAAAAAATATGTATGCCTCTTTTATGATTGTCTGTTGTTGTCGTTGTTATCCACTGTTGTCATCACTTTAAAAAAATAAATAAAAATCAGGTCTCGCTTGTAAATGAGTCACCGAGGCTCACTGGGATTAACCTGTATAAATAAAGGTTGAAAGAAAGAAAGATGAGAGGTGACTATTTGTGCGCAGCAGTATGGTTTCATTTCGTACCACAGATGTCATCTTTGTTTTGAGAATGCTGATGAAGAAGTACAGAGAGGGTCACAAAGAACTTCATTGTGTCTTTTAGAAAAAGCATATGACAGGGTGCCAAGAGAGGAGGTGTGGTATTGCATGAGGAAATCTGGAGTGGCAGAGAAGTATGTTAGACTGGTACAGGACATGTATGAGGACAGCAGGGCAGGAAAATGGGGAATGTGGTAAAGAGGTGAAAAAGAAAGTCCAGGCAGGATGGGGTGGATGGAAAAAAGTTTCAAGAGTGATTTGTGACAAAACGATGGCAACAAAGGTCAAAGGAAAAGTTTACAAGACAGCGGTGAGACCAGCTATAATGTATGGTCTATTGACAAAAAAACAGGAGAAAGAACCAACAATCTTGATTTCCAATAAGTTTGTACAAGTTGTTTAGAAGATGATGATTTAGAAAAAAAGCAACAGATAAATCAATTAAATATACTCCATAACACATTTGATGTTCTTAGGGTCAGCTAAAGGAATAATACTTATTATCCAAGCTTTTTGATATATGAACTCCTTTGTATTTCCTAATAAATATTAACTTATTTAATTAGCCAAAAACTTTTTAAAGTTACAAATTCTTTTGTAGAAAAAGTTTAAATTTTGTCATGTCTAAATGAAATTAATTATTTCGGAAAAAAGTTTAGTTTTTTTTTTTAAATTAATATAGTAACCCTGCGACCTGAAAAGGAAGAAGTGGGTAAAGATAATGGATGGATGGATGGATGGATGGATGGATGGATGGATGGATGGATGAATGGATGGATGAATAGGTCAAAGCAACTGGTGAATACTAAAACAGAACCACCTTTAGTGAAAGGACTAAAAACACTAGAAATTATCAGTGAAAATGAAGAGAATTGAATCTTTACGCTACAAGAGAAAAACTCGTGCTGCGTTCAGGTGCGCCTGTGCTTCAGCATTTATTGTGAACAGACTGGATGTTTTTGGAGCATCATTAGAGTTGTACTGAGCAGAACTAGGATCAGTTTTTTGTTCAGTCTTGGTGAAGCAGAGGATAATGCAGATGGAGCCTCCTCCTTTTCCTTCAGCCACTCTGCGAACCTGCTGGTTTTTGAATACACCCCAGGCTTGAGTGGAAGTCCGCACTCCTCTCCGAAGCTCGTCACTCCCACCACGTAGAACCGGTCCTCGACCTCGCTGTAGCACTGCAGGGGACCTCCGCTGTCCCCCTGCACCCGGCACAAGCCCCACCAGGTGTGTTAGAGGTGTGTTTTGAGTTTGTAGAGGCTTTGAAAATACTCAGAACCATTACCGAACCTGACAGGAATCGACTCCTCCGCTCTCCAGTCCCGCGCAGAGCATGTTCTCTGTGATGATGCCGTTGTACCAGGTGAGCTGGTTACACCGATCTCTGTCGATGAGCTCCACTTCAGCTTCCTGCAGTCTGTCCACCAACCCTCCTGCACAACACACACACAAACACCAAAACTGTTAGTGATTTACTGAAATGATCGAAGTCTAAAGATCAGAACCAGGTTGAAAATCTCCACTTTTTTAAAAACTAAACACATAGGTGAATCCACTTTTTTCAGTCTGGACCAACATGGGGGCAGTAATTTAATCAGCGACCCAGCTGCAGATGGTTTAAAAGATTGTTTTGACAAAGTAATTCTGACTAAAATATCTGCTCCAACTGTTCATTTTGGGACTTCCATTTCATTTCATTAAGTAAAATACTGTGATGTCTTAAATTACAGTACATCCCCATTGATGTAGCATTTAAAAACATTTCTATTTTACAAATCCTTGTAATGCAAATATTCTGTGTAGACATTATGCAAAGTTAGTCTTTTTTCTTCTAAAATGAACCATCAGCAGCAGCCATTATTGGTAATGAAGTCATTAATAATTTATGTAACAACCAGATGATTACAGAATGGGGCTCTTTTAGTGTATATTGTAAAAACAAAACAAAAAAAAATGATATTTTAAAATGTATCAATAATAAAAGTTTCATGGTGGATCTGAAGCTGTCACATCTGAGGGCAACGTTTGAGTTCCAGCAGTATTAGTGAGTTCTTACACCAACCTTGGTAGTAGGTGCTCCCCCACCCAGAGATGAAGCAGTGGGTGATGTTCAGGCTGGCCTCGTGGCTCACAGTAAGAGGAGTGCAGGCCGACTGGACGCGGTCCGTGAAGTTGAGTGGAGAGCTGAGCAGCACCAGCGCCACGTCGCTGTCAGACGTGATGGGATTGTAGTCCTTGTGGATTAGGAATTTACTGATGGAGCGGATCTGAGCGTGAGGTCCGGGGTCGGACAGCACGGTCAGTCCAGCCACCACACGGAAATAGTCATTGCTGAGCCACCTGGACACAAAACAGAACCGGTCTGACCCACAAACTGTTCCTTCGGTCATTTGTTTTTACAGATTTGTTTGTTTTTAATTAATAAAACCACTCAGTCAGAAACAATGTGTCCTATTTGGAACCACACTAATCGCCCTGTGCTCCTTTTAAGTTTTGCCTTCCTCCTCTACTGCAAAAGTCAAGGTGTGATACAATACTGTGCAAAAATCTTAATCCGTCCCTCACTTCTCTATACTTTGTTTCTGAGCAGTGAGATCATCATGATATTTTAGGGTGGTCTTTATCAATATTTCTTCAGACTTTCTAAAGTTTTTTAAAAGTTTTATTATGAACTGTTGCTGTTTTACTCATGTTGAGTCCAGCACCTGATCATTTTCAGAGAAATGCGGCCTTTTCTAGCCTCCTAGTTCTAATTTATGAATCATTCAGACATGAAAAGTCTCCTTAGCTCAAGAGATGAATCAGTAACTGGATCTTTGTTACCAGCAGTGTGTCAACTTGTATCCAAAGATAACACGGTTTGATGCATAAAATAGTATGTAAGCACCAACAAGATGAATCCCAAAGAGCTATAAGCTGAAAACTTCACTCACAGTAGAAGATGAAATACAGAATGATACATTTTTAAGGTGAAGTCTTTGCTGTTTTTTTTTGCATTTCTTAAAGACATGACATCTGGATCCAGCATATTTGCTGAAGATTCTTTCCTTTTAGTCTTCACATGTCTTCTTTTGTCCTCCACTTATATACTTTTCTAATAATTTCAGCGCACTGCAATATGTTGCTGTGGTCAGGGAGAAGGGCTGATCAGAAAACAAGTAAAAGAGCTGTAAAAGTTAAAAAAAAAAAAAAAAAAAAAAAAAACTGAAGAAATACTGATCAGGGCCACTTTGAAAAAGTGCAAAAAAGCTCTGGCTTCATGAAAGAACATCATGACGCAGACAGGGTGGTTTAAAACTTTTGCACAGCACTGTAAACATGATGGGGTTCAGATCCGTTCTACTCACAGGTATTTGTAGAAACAGTGAGCGGCGCTGAGCACCCAGAGGCTGTTGAGGACCGTCCCACCACAGTAGTGCCTGGACTGGATCTGCAGGCTGACCTGCCAGGGCCATGCTCCCTCAGGGGCCTCTCGCCCGCCCACAATACGAGACACGTCTGGGGGCCCGACCAGAGTTCGCTGCCCACAACCTCATCAGCAATGTCAGAGAAGGGTTTTTGTCAATTTAAAAAGACAAGTTTAAAGGTTGTGTGATTCTTGACACAATAATATGCAATATTTGTATACAGTATACCATAAAAAACATGAACAAGGTTTAAAGTAAATATTCCTACAAATACATTTGAAACTAAGAAAGATGCTGATCATTTTGTTCTCACTTTTGTCACACTTAAGAGAAAATTATAATTTCTGTTAATCAAAATTTACATCTAGCAAAGTAATTAACTTTAGAATAAATAACCTGGTTTTGAGATAAACAGATTTTGATTAAATGTAATATGAGATATTTTCTTTTTTCTGTTTTTTAATTTCAAAGCGGTGTAATGTTTGTATTTCAAGTTTTTAACATGTTTATTTTTATTTATATTCTTGTTGTTTTTGGTTTATTTTACACATTTTGCTTCATTGTTAAGGTTCAGATCTGCTCTAATGCTTCATTTAACACTGAACTAATGTTTGACAGCTTCCTGTTAAATCAAAAGGGCAAAAAGTCCCCCCACATTTTTGATCATTCATTGAACTCTAAAGTGTTTTAAAGAACACGGCTCGTCGATCTTTGAGGAGTCTGCATTTAATTGTCTCTTTGTGAAACATTTAATGGATATGATCTGAGTTCTTTAAGGTCATTTGTAAAAACATTTTCAAGCAGTCAATTTAAGTATCACTAAGTCAAACGTATACATTTCCACAAGTTGTTAATCTCTACAAATGTTCTTTAATTGTTTAGTTTGTTACATTCAGATAAAACCAATGATATTCAACATGCACAAATAATCCTTTATTACTTTTACAACATTGTAGTGATGTAGGGTTAGTTAGCGTCAGTTAGCTTCACTACAATCAATATTTAATGACGGGTTCTCTCTTTTTCGAGCTACTTGACAGATATGTGACAGAGATACTGTGTGGGAGATGGTCTAAAAACCAGTGACATGAGACGTTAATTTTCTTTGACCCATCAAAATGAGTGTGGTCATTTATTAACAGAATCAAAATTTAACATCAACATTGTACACTTGATTATTCTGATTGAACGCAATAACACAGCTTAATTAATGAGCTTTACAATGAGAAATCATACGACCATGATTTCTCACTTGCAACTAAAATACAACAGACATTTCTGAAAATATCTGGATTAATTACTGGCAAGATAGAAGAGTTTTAAAGATGGGAAATGAAGTAGTTTAAATGGAGATGAAAAAAGATGGATGAAGATGTATGTCCGTAGACCAGAACAACACGCTCCTTTGAAGCGCAGTTCGCCCGCGGTACACTGGTAGTGAAGTTCATGGCGACTCTTTACCTTTGGCGGAGGATGAATCCGCGGCGGTCAAGAGGTCCTTGATACGCTACCTTTCAGCGTCTCCTCAGGGCGGCTGCGACTCGGCAGAAGTCGTGAGAACTAGTTCCACAGAACAAACCTCCTCAGAAGTTATGAAGTTTTCACCGGGTGGAGTCACAGCGAGGCATCGTGGCTCCTACAGGAACTCCAGCCGAACTTCATCAGTACCAGAACTTTGGTTCAAGTGTAGAACTCCGAACTCTGGATCATCTCCCAGAACTCCGGTTCATGTCTCAGAACTTTTTCTGTTCGGTTCTGCCCTCAGAACTGACTGGAACTAGGAAGTGTCGACATTTAAAGAGTTCTGTTTCCGGTTCATTTGAGAAGTCCTGATTGGTTGAAAGAACCAACAGGGGTGTAGTTTTAGTGACGTAAGAGGTTACTACAAGTCAGAAAAACAGTGGGATGTTTTTGGAACAGACAGAGAAATGTTTTTGAGCAGACAGAGAAATGTTTAGGCGAGATGACAGACCACAGGTGCCAGCTCTTTCTTATTTCTGTCTGATAGGTTTAAAAACATGACAGTTCGTTCTAATAACTTCTTTCTGACTTTTGACCGACATCACTCCTTCTCATTTCAGACAGAAGATCAAAAAATGCATAATTACTCTGTAACAGACATTAACTTGATTTCTACTTTGAATGAGGATTAAAAATCATTAATACTGTTTCGCAGTTGATTTAAAATGAGTAGTTCACTTCAACATTTAAAATGGTTTGAACTAAACACACTTTGATTATCAAGATATTGTAAAATAGTAATGATAATATAAAAAGAGAGTGTTCTTTCAATTGATTAGTGCAGGACACACTTAGAAAGTCTCTGGATGAGCTTAATTTGTATTTCTGGACTCAAATCAATGAAATAACAGTTCCTGTCCCATAAAGGTCCTCAGGGTCAGGTTTTGACCTGAGGCTTAGTTCACTACAACATGTAGTGCATACTCCACAACATCATGCATCATTTAGCATCATGTGCTAAAGTTCGGTTTTATTCAGTCGAAAGCGTCATGGAGAACTTTCATTTTGTAAAACAACAATCCTAAGTGTATTTTTGTATTTTCAATGTTATAAATATTAGCAGTAAAAACTCTTACTTTTGTAAAAATTCTACTTTTGAAAACTTGAAAAAAAAAAAGGAACATTACAAAAAAATATCCTGATGCATGCTCAATAATCCAGGTAGAAAAATCCAAAAAAGTTCAATCTGGTCCTCTGGACATTAAAAAAAAACAAAAAAAAAACAAAACAAAGCAAAAAAATCTAGAAACGTTTCATCTCTCATCCAAGAGACTTCTTCAGTCTGAGGTGCTGTATTCAGCTCAGTCTCTTAAATAGTACCTTCTCAGAGTGGATCAACCAGTTTTGCTGCTGACAACCAAAACCAGCTGATCACATGCTCAAGAAGGACCATCAGCCTAACAATGGGTCATTAGCACACTGATGGCTGTTTACTACTCACAGAGGGCTGAGTGATACTACCAATCACAGCATTGTAAGAGGGGGACAGTTGAACCCGGAGGCCTCCACCCCTGTTTAATGATGGACGATTTCTTTTCACAAAGATGGCCTCCTTTACTCCTCTCTCAAACCATCGTTCCTCTCTGTCCAGGATGTGAACATCTTCATCCTTGAAAGAGTGACCGCTGGCCTGGAGATGAGTGTAGACTGCAGAATCCTGGCCTGATGATGTTGATCTTCTGTGCTGGGCCATCCTTTTGGCCAGTGGCTGTTTAGTTTCCCCGATGTAAGACTGATCACAGCCCTCCTGACACTGAACAGCATACACAACATTACTCTGTTTGTGCCGGGGGACTGGATTACCAAAAAACAGTCTTCAAAAATGCAACAGAAAAAAATGAAATGATATGTATTTTCCTAAACTCTTAATAAAATTGGTCACTTTAAATTTAGCACATTTCTGACAAGTACCTGAATCTGAACAGATTAAATGTAGTCATATTATTTTTGTGATATGTCAGTTTTATGTGCAATCAATCATTGTTTAAATGTTTTAGAAGGTAAACTACATAAGAAAAGATATGTTATTAAATAGAAAAAGAGTAATAAGTACGCTCAATCATCCAGGTAAAAGAAACTGTCCAGATGACATGATTAACTATTAGTAGTATGTTATTAATTCAATTCAATTCAATTCAATTCAATTCAAAAATACTTTATTAATCCCAAAGGGAAATTATTTGTTGTTGTAATTCGTTATCCTCATTTCATTAAGAGATGTTATAGATGCTGAAGGCTGTAGGTAGGAAGGATCTCTTATAAAGATCCATCTCACAGTGGATCCTAAGAAATTGGCTGCAGATGCCGTCCGATCCGTCCAGACTCAGCTGGCCTCTCGGTCCCCTCAGGCTGTAGGACCGCCTGAATGCAGGGCAGAACTCCTCCCAGAGCGATGGTCACTCCTCCCAGCAGTCTGCCGAGCTCCTCTTTGCTGTGGACAGCCAACTGTAGGTGCCGAGGGACGATCCTGTCCTTCCGCTGTCATGAGCCATGTTTCCTGCTAGTCCCAGGATCTCAGTGGTCAGGCACTCGAGCACAGCTGGCAGGTAGATGAGAATGCATCCACAAAATATCCTTTTCAACTCATTTGAGATTTGGGGCTGTAGTTGAGATATTATTTGAGCTTTTGAGATGTTAATCAGCTGCTGTTGGTTGTAGAAAACTGCCTTGTTGCCATGGTTACGCATCATAACAAATGTCCAAAACAAAAAAAGTTTCAGTAAAAATCCTTCCAGCTGCACAGCATCTGATACCAGAGGAAACAATCATCCAAAAAATGTGATTTACATCCAGAAAAAGAGGAGTTAAAGTTTCCAAAAGCAAAATTTCAAGATGAAAGTAACAGAGCTGCTCCAACATGCAGCCACCTTGAGCGGCGCAATTCTAGAACTAGAATTCTAGAATTAAATACTTATATTTGTAATATACGGTATGTAATTTAAGTAAGATCTGCTGATATTAGTGACTGCAGTGAAACTCTAAAAATAAACAACTATGCAATAGGCTATTAAAAGTAAAATTATTAAGACTGTCATTTTTAATTTCAAGAATGGTGTATTTATAAACAACTTTAAACTAGCCTAAAACAATAATAAAAAAATAAAAAAATCACAACAGTTATAAAGCAAACATAAAACTAAAGCCCTACCAGTTCTAAATGACTGCATATCGCTCGCCACTTTACACACCAGATATTTAAACTGATCATTTTTTCCGGGGGATTTGCGCGAAATATCGCGAGATTTCACGCGTGGTTAGCGGAATTACTGTTACGGGAATACGGGTACGTTTTGGGAAAAAGTTAAGATAAGAACCACACACAAAATATATCTAAATATGTTTGCAGATTATTAGAGGATTATTTGTGGCGGCCATTTTAAATTTGAGTCCAAAATTTAAAATCAACTGTTAATAAACGTCCAATAAATTTCTGATTCATGATTTTGCTAACAATTAAGCAAATGATTTTAGGCAAACCAAAGTTTTAAACAATATCTCACGAGCTTTTTTTTTTTTTTTAGCTTTTACCAAACTAAATTGCAGCTTAATATGGAAAATGCACGATAGCCGTTTTGTGTTAGCTGCGGCGGCCATCTTTTTTTTTTTTCTTCTTTTTTTCAATTTTCCACGGCGGCCAACTTGAACTGCGTTGACTCTTAAAAGTAACGATTACCAAATAAAAAATCTCAATAGTTTTTCTGTAACTCACTGTGCTGCGCTGAAGATGTCTCAGTCAAACACAGGATGCTCACAAACAGGACGAGAGCCTTCAACCCCATTTAGTTAGAACTCTTCAGGACATTTTTAAATCAGTGTTCTTTTTGTTTTTAACTGCAAACAAAAACAATTCCTTCCCAGCACGTTAGTGACGTCATACGCTCGTTAGCTTAGTGAGCTGCTAGCTTAGTGAGCTGCTAGCTTCTTGTTTATTTTTTTAGCAAGTCCAACGGTTCTTCTGAACACTTCATTGTTGACCTTAGCCTGCCTATGACAAATAAACAACACACACATAGTTTAATAATTTGAATTTAAAAACTTGCATATGTTTATAACAAGTATTGTAACAATTTAATCTATAAAACTTATTTTTCGCTTTTAAAAAATGCGTGAAAATGGAGTGCTGAGATTTACTGAAGAAGCATAACAGCTTAAAGTTAAAAACAGCAACAAGCGCCATGCAAGGTAAGAGTAGTTTTTGAACCATGTCCTGGATGACTGAGAATCTTCACCAGCACAACAATAATTCAAAAATAGTCTACTTTATTAATGCCAAAGAGAAATTAAATGTTAAACTCATCATCTTGGTTTATGCTGATGGCTGTGGGCAGGAAGGATCAAGCGGTCTGTCTTACAGTGGATCTGAAGAAGCCTCTGACTGAAGATGTTGTATGACAGTCTGATGAAGAGGGTGCTGAGGGTTGTCAATGTTCTTCATTTTATGAAGAATCCTTCTTTGTACAATCATCTTCAAAGTCCCCAACTGAACTAGCCTTCTTTAGTTTGCTGAGCTTTTTGAAGTCACTTCTGGTCCTGCTACCCCAGCAGATGATGGCAGAAGAGATCATGGATGCACCACTCGTGATCGTTGGAAGAGACTGTTTGAAGTTCCTTCTATTGCTCTCTTCTTTGCTCCTGCTCTGCATCCACGGCGCCTCCTTTTCAACTCATTTGGGATTTGGGGCTGTAGTTGAGATATTATTTGAGCTTTTGAGATGTTAATCAGCTGCTCCCGGTTACAACACCTTGTTATGGTTATGCATCATAACAAATGTCCAAAAGTTAAAAAGCTTTCAGTAAAAATCCTTCCAGCTGTACAACATCCGATACCAGAAAGTCCAAAAACAGCGATTTACATTCAGAAAAAGAACAGCCAGCAAACAGAACAACAAACGCTAAATGCTAAAAGTAGTAAAATGCTAAGAGTAACAAAAACTAGCTAAAAGCTAATTGTACAAAAGACTAACTAAAAGTAATAAAAAGTTAGCCAGAACCTAAAAGGAACAAAAAGTTAACTAAAATTTTGATATATGCTAGTAAGATGCTAAAAGTATAGTGCTAACTACTCAAAAGACTAGCTAAATGTAGCATAGCTGCTCATAAGAGTCAACAAAAAGAGAGAAATCACTAGTGAGGAGTAGCAAAACACTATGCTAAAGGTAGTGAAACACTTTTTGCTAAAAGTATCAAAATGCTAGCTAAAAGTAACAGACCAGTAGGTAAAATCTCAACAAGAAGATAAAAAAAAAAACAGATTTAAGAATAATGTTTTAAGGGAACTAAAGGGAAAATATTTGCTAATAAAGTTTAATATTTTGAAAGGTATAAAAATGGCAACAAAAAAAGTCAGCTGAAATTAGCACAAAATATGCAAAAGCAGTTGGATTAAAAAAAAAAAAAGAACAGTAAGCAGTCATAGAAAGGGAAGAGTTAAACTCATTGAAAGTCGTGATAATGAATGTTATTAGCCTTATTTGATCAGATGAAATGTTTTTTCTGCAGTGGCCTCAGCCTGACTAAGCTCAGCGCAGAGGCGTGTCCGCGCGTCTCTCCTGGCGCACATATGGCGCATGTTTTGCGGCTGCAGGCCCGGATGACATTTGCGATGGCACGGATCGCGCTCGCCGACACTCCCTCCACATTCTGCTGAGAGTCATCAATTATGCAGGGAAGCTGCTGCTCGCGCTGAGGGGGGAGAGAGCGGCAACAATATGGCGACAACCGCAGTTTCTCCACGATCCTCCCCGCATCCGCAGTCCTGCCACGACTCTCCGGATTCACTGTAACCCTCGCAAAGTGAGTATGGTTCGTTTTGTTCAGGTCTGATTGGGGGTGGGGTGGTGAGCGATGAGGGTGGAGGGTCTATCCGTGTCGGTGTTTTTATTTATTTAATTTATTTTGCGTAAAGCCCCAAATGTCGCAGAGCCGCTCACGGCCCCGCGTCTTTTTCTGGAGCTGGAAGGAAGCAGAGGGTGTCAGCTCGCGGACCACAGGGGTTTCTTTAAACATCTCTTTTATTTTATTTTTACCAATCAGTCGATGTGGATGGCGCGAGGATTGCTGCAGTTTTTGTCGATCAACATGATGAGGGGAACGGTTCTCAGCCAGGGCGCAGTCTGACTCCTGCAGCACAGCAAAGCCCCCAAAATCCAAACAAATTAGGTTTTATTTGTTCTCCTTCTGGCATTTTATACGATCCGGATTACAACATGAGCTTGAACCGAAAGGCTGAAGAGAGGCTGACACGGTGTAAGTATCTCATCAACTTTGATTTACGAAATGTCTCCAGGTGTCCGCGCCATAACCCGTCCTCTGTCCGTCGAACCGGTCCACATCATGCCACAGCCTCTGTTTGCTGTTCGGCAGCTTTAACTTCGGCCTGTGTTTGTGCACACACATTGCCGACATGATGGCTCCTCGGGTGTGGTGCAGATCATTTGCGCGCAAAAAACCCGCACATCATGTCCCGATAGCCCAAATCTGTCGCCTCTTTTCATTGTTGCGGATGTCGGAGAGGGATATATTTGGAGGTTCGTGCGTTATGATGAATCGTGGCAGGTTTTGGCTGCGTTTTCTCCTCTCCCAGCGTGACATTTGCAACAGACAAACCACCCACTGCAGCAAAAATATCGCTTTGGCACATTTGCGCGGAACGGGCCACTTTTCTGCGCAGCAAAACCCCTCACAGAGGAGCGGGACTTTCATGCTTCATGACATGTCAGGGGAAACGGAGATAATGGCGCATTCAGGTCACCCGTCAAAGATTTGCCTTCTTGAAGAAGATGAAACTGATCAGGACCGAGAAGACGCCAGGATGCAGGACTTGAGGGATACACCTGCAGGTCTGCAGGAGAAGCACACGGTGTCTTTCCCTTTTTTTTAATACCTTGGACAGTTCGGTTTTGATTTCTCCCCCTTGCGTGCACGCATGCACGTGTGAGCGCGCGTGCGCTCTGGCGGTGCTGAAGCGGACAGCGCCAGAGCTGAGCTGCACAAGGTTCCGGGGTCCATTTTATAAAAACAGCCTGCTCGGAGCTCTCTCTCTCTCTCTCTCTCTGTCTCTCTGCTCGAGATGTTTTCCTCTCTCCTTCATGGTTTCATCACACGCACATGCACACACCCGGAAAGGACAGAGCGCAGTCTTTTCCAGCTTCACATGGAGCATTTGCAATTAAAGTGCGAGATGCAACGGGCTGGGGGTCTTTATCCTCACAGATTTTTGTGTACTAATGAGAGGGACTTCACCAGCAGAGAGGAAACGAGTTAATGAGAGATGAAAAGTTCTCAAATGTTTTATTATTCCATGTCTTTCAGGTGGGACAGAACTTCCATGCTCTTTAGTCTTGATTGATTCAATAAGTCTTGTCATGTTGCAGAATTTGTTGATTTGCCAAGAAATGGCTTGTTTTAAACATAATGCGGTGCACAGTCTCGTGTAACGTTCAAAATGTCAGGCTCAGTGTTGTAAATGACTCTCAGCGACTACCACAAGTTTTTGGTCAAAACTGTAAAGGTTTGAGCCATGTTTGTGATAGTTTGGATTAGTTGTTGTGGCCATCTTGAGTTGAACTGACTTCCAGAGTTAATCAGTTGTACCAAAGATAATAATAATGATAATAATCATCCATTTATCATCTTTACCCGCTTCTTCCTTTTCGGGTCGTGGGGGGTCACTGGTGCCCATGTTCAGCTATAACTGTGCGAGAGGTGGGGACACCCTGGACAGGTCTCCAGTCCATCACAGGGACACACAGAGACAAACAACTATTCACTGTCTCACTCACACCTAGAGACAATTTAGAGTTACCAGTCAGCCTAACATGCATGTTTTTGGTCTGTGGGAGGAAACCGGAGTACCGGAGACAACCTACACGTGCAGAACATGCAAACTCCACCCAGAATGGACCCTGTCAGGGATTAGATCTTGCAACCTTCTCACTGGGAGGCTGTAGCTCTATGTGTGCATCCAACGACTATTTCCTGGAAGTTTGATGAAAATCTGTTCAGTGGCTCGCAATATATTTTGCAAACAGTGTTGACTCATCAGGTGATGCTAAAGTTATAGGCAAATATCTCACACAATTGCATATGTTGTCCATTACTTTCAGTTCTTACTGCACCCATCTTTATCCTGGGATTTGTAAAATTAACTGAATTTGTTATTTTTGTGTTTTCAAATGCCAGCCATCTTGAAATGTGTTGACTCCAAAGATCAATCTGTTGTTGTGGAGTAATAATAGGTACATATATATGATTACACCCCTCAAGTTTTACTACAATTCATTTATGTGTTAGTGAGATATTCTGGCAAAAACATAATCCACCTTCACCTTTTGTCAGTGATAAAAAGCAGTCATGATAAGCATGTGATATCAAATAAATACTGTTTGATAATTATATTTGTTGAATGATATTTAACAATCTAAAATATAAATGAACCTAACTGTGGCAATTCAGAATTTTGATACCAACATAAATAAAATAAAACACGTAAAAGATATTTCTTTCTTTTTGAATAAAGAAAAATAAAGATTTAATGTTTGATTTTGTTTAGAAGACAGAATTAGTTTTTTCTTTGGGATTTTAACGTCCAACAGCTGTCATTTACATCAACCAGACAGGGTCAGCGTTTTAATAATGTTTGTTGTTTAAATGATAGTTTCACAAATCTCTTGTTGCTTGAAAGAATCTGATAGGTTGACCTTAATAAATTTACCTTAGCTAACAATGAGACAGTATGCTGCTTGAAGTAAAACAGGCTGCAACCTGCAGGTTTTGTTCTAAATATGCCTTTAAAGCTGTGATTTACTATCTGAAATTGTTGCACTGTCAGATCTTTTTACCTTAAGTCAAAAAGCATATATTTGTTATGTTACAAATTGTTTTTTTCTCTTTAGAGCTCCTACTGTGACCGGTCCAAACCTCATGACCAGGTAGCTGCAGGATGAAAACATGGCTGCACCCCTTATCGCACCGCCAGGACCTGATAGCTTCAGGAAGTTTACGAGGGAATCTTTGGTGGTCCTTGAGCAGCGCTTCAAAGAGGAGAAGAGCAAGAAGCCGCCCAAGCAGGACAGCAGCTACCGCGACGACGATGACGAGAACAAGCCCAAACCCAACAGTGACCTGGAGGCTGGGAAAAGCCTCCCCTACATCTACGGGGACATCCCTAAAGGAATGGTGACGGTCCCACTGGATGATCTGGATCCATTCTACCTGAATTCTCAGAAAGTGAGTTTAGGAACAGAGAAACACATCCCACACACTCATCTGGTTATTTTTGTGAGAACTGGATGGATGTTTCTGGTTTGTGCGGGGTATTAAACCTGTTATACACAGACTAAAAGCTGCCAGTTAACAGCTAAACAGCCTGCAGAAAACATCCGTCTGTTCAGATGTTTTTCAAACAAAATCAAGACTTAGCAACATCTTTACTCAGACTTTTGACAAATAATGTCCCAAAATACATTAAAATAAACTTGAGTTGTTAACAAACATTCATTTCACCTCATAGTTTTCATTCATGGCTTATTTGGCATTCTTTATCAGCTGGATTATTTTTATTTTTTAATTTTTTACGTCTTTATTCAGAATTCTAAGATATTTTTTCATTCCACCTTTATTTGGACAGGTTAATCCCATATAAAACAAGTTTTGTGATGGCTGATTAAATTTCTTTGAATAAGTTTAAAATATATAGAGGTGGCTTGTCAGGAACCAAGCGCAGTATTTTGGACTATTTACCATATTTTTTCGGACTATAAGGCACTACGTATTATACGGTGCATTAAGCAAAATAAGTTGATTTTGACAGATTTTTTGAGCACCATGTACCACATAAAATCAGTTCAAGGTCAGTAAGTACAACCAGAATTAATACATAAGGCTCACTGTGGATTTTTTTTTAGACAATTCAAGGATTTTAAGTTTGCTTTATAGTCTGAAAAATACAGTAGTTTGCTTTTTCAATTTGATGAAGCTGGAATTAATAATTGCACTGTTTTTTTTTTAAACTGCTGCAAGTAGCAGATTTAGTTCAGCTTATTTATTTATTTATTACTAATTGATCAGCATAACTTTGTTGCCTGGTGATTTATACATTTTGGCAGCAGTTTACATTGTTTTTTAGGTGATTGACACTCAGGTGTTGGAAGTTTATGGTCATTTTAACAATTCAGCAGCTAAAGCTAATTTGTTTTTTTATTTATAAAGTCACTGGGAGAGTGTGAGCTGTTAATTTATGGGACAATGACTTGTCATATCTTTAAATGTGCTCACATGACTTTGAGGAAAAGGACAAAGGCTGTTGAATAAACTTTTGTGTCACACTTTTTCAGAATTGTTCAGAACTTAATGTGTGGCTGAGAAAAAGAAGCAGAGAGGACTGGTTGTCTTGGAGGAGACACTTGTCTCTCTGGGGTTTCTGCCACGTCTGATGCTCTGTGTGAGGACGGTCAGGTGTGACCTTGACAGGCTCTGAATATCACCAGCTAACTGTTAGACCAAACTGCTGAAAGAGGTTATGATTATTGTTTCATGCTCCTGTCGAGTGAGTCGAGAATTAGCTGGTTGATGGGAAATTAAAACATGCATGAGATTTTACAGTCTTGTTGGAAACCTTGAGCCAAAATTTTGATCCTGTACATAAAAAGGCAATATAATTGATCATCAAATGGCTCTTTATGGCCAGAGTATTGATCCAGATGCAGAGTAAACATGAGTTTTCAGCGCTATTTCTACATCATTATCCTGAACAAAGTAAAATGCAAAACAAATATCCTGAAATCACATATGTCCACATTTTGGATCAAAATATTGTTCAGCTCCCTATGATTCTTTGTAGTTTTACCTTAAATATACCTGAAAACAAAGGTAATGGCGTGTTTAGTCATCGTTAGCTGAAGTGATTAGTGTGTAAATGTTTAGGTGCTCGGCACTCATCTCCATCTGTCTCCGTCTTCTGCCTCCCTGTCTCCACACAGAGCATGCTGCCTGTTATGCAACACACCAGTCCAGCGCACAAAAAGGAGACACGATTCAGATGACACGTGGCAAACATGTCCAGTATTACGTGGGGTTATTCTCGTGTGGCTCGTTTGTTGTTTCTCTATATATTTCATACATCATTGTCACAGATGCAACTCGTCTGCTTTGTGCTTTTTGTCGTTGCTGCCACCGCTCATCCATGCAGTCCTGTTCGCTCCCCACGTCAGGCAACTCTAATTATGGCCATCAATCTAGGCTCTTTCCAATAGGGAACTGACGCTGCTTTGGATGTCGAGCAGCCCTGACGTCAGATCAAGTGGTGACCTTGGTGGTTGAGCTGTGTGTCTTTGTTGCTGAGGGCTGCCAGACTGGTTCTTTGTAGGAAGGGGGATGACAAGGTTTAATGGAAGAGGGCAGTTCATGTTTCTTTACGTCAAAGTTTAATTTGCGTCTCTTTTAGGTTGTGTCAGAGCAGAGACAGAGAGGAGGGCTGACTGAATGATGATGCAGCTTCTGTTCCTCCCCTCCTTGTCAGTGGTCAGAGATGGACTTGTGCCAAACACGGTTGAGTCTGGCCAAACCTGGTTGAACTCTGAGGGCGGGTGAACAGAGATTTTTGAAGAGACGGGAAAGAAAGAAGATGGGGGTACCAGTGCAAGGCTGTAATGCAAAAGTGGTCATGGTTTAAAAGTTCATAAAATAATGTTTTTTATGAACTGCTACATCAGGGGCTGCTTAAAATGGCAGCAATCTGCACTGGCTCTGGTCCTGCTTGGACTAGCTTTTATTTCTCCAGTAGGATTAAATTTCAATTCAATGCTGTGATGTTTATTTAAAGAGCGCCAATTCACAACAAACATCTCAAGGTTCTGTACAAACACAGGGCTGCAAAAATTAGTCACTATAATCCACTACAAAAAAAAAATCAGTGCAGACTTTTATAGTCCATGCGTCGTAAACAAAGCTATTAATAGGTTTCCTCGGTCATAAAGATCCATATAAATGTTTTTTTTTGTAACGGCAATGCACGACTGGAGCGTGTGAGGGCAGTAGCTCTACTGTTTGTCAAGACTGTCTTCAAACAAAGAAGAACTGGAGGAAAAGATGGACAGAACGCTATAAGGAGATAGATGGAAATCGAAACAGTGACTTTAAAAAGCGTGTGAGCATTTCACTGAAAACAAACAATAGTTTGAAGGCAGATTGTGCAAAACAGAACTTTTTTTTTTAACAACAGCACTGCTCAGTGCACTACAGTCCCCCTGCTGGAGCAGCTTTCAGTAGTTTATCGCATTGTGCTGCTTCCTTTTTAATAATTTTTGTATAATAATGTTTTTTATCAATTTAAAATAACACATCAAATCATAAGCTATGTGCAATGCAGTTCAATCTAAATCTGATTCAGAGTCAAATCCTATTACAGTGAGCTCCGTCCAATTCAGTTTTTATACAGTTAGTTTCAGTACATTACAACATGTCAATTATTTATAAAGGTGTCTATCTAAGGAGACCAGCAGATTGCATAAAATCTTTACTCTAAAATCCCCTATCCTGAGCTGCACATTGGCGACAGTGGAAAGGAACAACTCTGTTTTAACCTCTAGCAGAACCAGGCTGAGGATGAGCAGCCATCTGCCTTGACCTGCTGTTTGTTTGTTTTTAAGAAAGAGACTCAGGTGAACCCAGAAGTTCCAGGTATTGTTTCTATAGAAAGAAATGACAGGAAGAATGTCAGCAATAGTTTCAAATACTGTACATACATGGGAAATATAGTGAGTAAAGACAGCAGCAGAATGAGTACCGGTAGTCAGTTTGTCCTCCAGTAGTCTAAATCTATAGCAGCAGAACTAAGGGATATCTTCAGAAACCCAAGCCAACTGTAACTGTAGGATCTATGAAAAAGGAAAGTTTTAAGTCAGGTCTTAAAAGGAGACAAGGTGTCAGCCTCATGGGCAGAGACTTGAAGTTGGTTCAGTAACAAAGGAGCTAGATAGCAGAAAACTCTTAACTCCTGTTTTGCTTTTGGAAACTCTAGGGACCACAAGTAAACCTGCAATCTGAAAGCAAAGTGCTCTGTTAGGAAAGTATGGAACAATATGATCTTTAATGCAAAATGGAACTTGGTTGGTGAAAGCTTTGGGAGTCAGAAGTAAGATTTTAAGTTGTTTTCTGAATTTGAACAACAACAGAAACATGCTGTCTGAATCTGAAATGGACACTATCATTTTATTTTTTGTCTCATGTTATGTCATAATTAAACATTCTCTATCCATAACACCGATATACAATTTTTAGATTTCTGTGATTCCCCCTTAAATGTTTCCCCTCATCCTGAATTTATTTAAACAAGCATGGATTGCATGTTGTATTACAACCTTGAACACACTAAAATTATGAATTAATACTTACAAAAAGTTGTTAAATATTTGATAAGAACTGTTTTTAGAGTCGATAAAATAGGATGGACAATTAAGTGAGTAAACAAGGGAGAAGGTTTATACAGAGTCGCTCTTGTATGTTGTAGACATATAAGATTCACTGACAAGATACTGATAGGCTCCTTGAGGTGTCCTCATTAGGTGTGACAGAATTGTCCTGTATAGTGCTTACATGTTCACACTTTAATTAATGTTAGGTCTTTCTGCCCTCTAAAAGATTTGACCTTCCAAATATGACAATATTGTTATGTCCTACTGATAAGCTTTGTTTAAATGAGCACACACTGACAATCTGACAAGTTATTTGTCATGAATTTGCAAAAAATCAACCAGGTGGCCCTTCCTGTCTCTTGTATAATGTTTTTTTGGTAGGACATTATACAGTATAGCATTATGAACAGGTGAACCGGGGAGTGGCAGGAAACTGATGAGTTAACCCCAGAAATGGAGTTTGTTCCTACAGAGCAATTTACATATTTGCACACAGACAAACGCTGCTCTGGCTGGAACTTGGAGGTCAGATTATTAAGGTGAATGGATTTAAGGGAAAAGCTGTGTTTTATAGATTGAAACACTCGCTTACCTGAGCAGTTAACATAGTCCATGTTCATGTTTTACCTTGTATTTACAATATAGCTTTAATCTGCTCATTGTTTGGACTTGATAAGAAAGTTTTCAGATATTTAAATACAAATTTTACTAGTGAGAGTCAAAATCCTGCAGCTCAAACAGGGGAGGTGAGCTCATTAATACTGGAAATGTTGAGGGAATTCTTGTGCTTGGACATTTTAACAAGTCTGAAAATCC